ACGCATTTAAGTCAAAATGTACAAAACCGAACGCTACAGTTTTAATAGACACAAAGTAAGTCGGTGTCCATTAGCAAATAATATTATGTAATATTTTTCCAGGCACCCCTTCCCCCACCAATATGGTCAGAACCGTATGATGCAATTAACCAGCAAGTAGTTTGTCCCCAATCTATATTGATGCCAATTTCTGATCTCCAACCAGTGCAACAAGAAAATTGTCTGATTGCTAATGTTTTTGTACCAAACACAGATGAAAAGAATCTTTCCGTGGTAGTCTATGTTCATGGAGGAGCTTTTGTTATGGGATGGGGAGACATTTATGAAGCCACACAGTTAATGAACAAAAAAGATATTATCATCGTTAATTTCAACTATAGACTTAGCGTTCATGGCTTCCTTTGTCTCGGCACTGAAGACGCCCCAGGTAATGCTGGAATGAAGGATCAAGTTGCATTGCTGCGTTGGGTGCAAAAGAACATCGCCAGCTTCGGTGGTAATCCAGATGACGTCACTATTATAGGATACAGTGCTGGATCCGCATCTGTAGACTTGCTAATGCTCTCTAAATCTGCTGAAGGATTATTCCACAGAGTTGTACCTGAAAGTGGTGGAAACCTTGCTGCATTTTCAATTCAAAGAGACCCTGTGGAGATTGCCAAAAAATTTGCTAGACAACTTAACTTTACTAACGTAGACGATATTTATGCTCTTGGAGAGTTCTACAAAACAGCTCCTTTAGAATTGTTGATGTCAGATCCATTTTTCGATAAAACTGATTCTACTTTCATGTTCGGTCCGTGTGTAGAGCGCAATATAGGAGAAGAGACGTTTCTTATAGAATCTCCACTAACTACATTAAAGAACGGTAACTTCAAGAAATTACCAGTATTGTATGGTTTCGCTGAGATGGAAGGGCTGTTTCGTATTGATTTTTTTCCATTTTGGAAGCAAATGATGAATGACAAATTTTCCGATTTCTTGCCTGCTGACTTAAAGTTCAAATCTGAAGGAGAACGGGAACATGTAGCCAATAAAATCAAGAGATTTTACTTTGGAAATGGTCCCGTTAGTGAGGACAATATTTTACAATACGTGAATTTCTTTACGGATGTCATCTTTGCATACCCAATGCTTTGGGCAACTAAGTTGCACGTGGAGGCAGGCAACAACCAAGTATATTTGTATGAATACTCATTTGTGGATGAAGATGTTCCTGTAGTACCACACACTAATATAAGAGGTGCTAATCACTGCGCTCAGTCGTTCGCCGTACTTGATGGCAAAAATTTGACACATTTAAGTCATGCAGATGAGTCACTGGCGACGCCTGAGTATCAGGAAATGAAGAAGACAATACGAGAAATTTGGTACAACTTTATCAAAACTGGGTATGTATTTTACTTTAAATTTGGAACTTTTTACCGGAATGGTGTACCGCGGTTCCGGGCCTAGCCTTTAGTCAGTAATAGTTTGACACTACTTCTCGCCTATTAGGGCAGGAAAAGCCGTTTGATGATATTTCCCTTTCAAATTTTTAAATAATTATTTGAATCCCAAAAGTTATTGATTTGTGACAGTGTATACGGTATAATTTAATTAAGAATGACATGATTCTGTTTGTGCAGGACATGTTGTTCTCTTTCTCTATCGAGCTATTATTAAAGTTTTTCATTTTGTAAAATTAAACGAACTTAAGCTTTGGCGATCTTCACTTGCCAATAACTTACATAAATTATAAGAAAGAAAGAAAAGACAGAAAAAGTTCGCGGCTGGGACGCATAAAAGACAGAAAACGAACAAGATAATAAAATAAAGTTAAAAATAAAAATACATTAAGCATGGTAAAAACAATATCACAAAAGTAGAGGGTAGGAGAAAAACATGCGTCCAAGCACGCGAAATAGCCTACGCTCAGCATTATGCAGCGACCCCATACGAGACGGGGTCGCGGCGCTGATTTTCAGCAATGGCCGAAAATAACGGGGTTATATTAATGTGAACAATAATTAACCCCTTCTTGCAGAAAACCTGTGCCTGAAGGGTCCTCATTGCCTGCGTGGCCCGCTGCCGGCGCTGACAGGTCACCGCACATGTCGCTGGGACAGAAGATAGAGCTGCGTGGTGTACTGCTAGAAGAACGCACTCGCTTCTGGGATGACATCTACCAGAGATACTACCGGGAGCCTGTGCCACCACCGGCACCACAAGAGTATTAAAAAAAGACTGACATGTATTAAAGAAATAGTATTTTTTAAAAGTAAAAGTCTGATTAACCACCTTAAACTTGTAGGAGCGTGTGTTCTACTTCCTCGTGTGTTTGTGCGAAATTTTAAAAAAAAAAACCTCATGACACTTTTAGGTATTAGCGAGTTACAGCCTCACTAGTAATTATATAAATATTAAATAATATTTTATATATTTTTTTTTTAATAAATATTTTTACTTTCCATTCTATTATTTTTCTATTGATTTAATTTTAATGGCTATCACATTATTTTATCGCATCATCATTGCTGAATAAAGGTCTCTTCTCATTCCAACTTATTTCAAAGTAAGAACTCAGAATACAGAACAATCTGTATTCTGAGAGTAAGAATGAGAAATTATAGTGTTGGTTACATCATGATGTTTTATTTCATCATTTTTGATTGACGTTGACGGATTACCTGATGGTTAGCAATCAAAGAGCGGCCCGTGGACACTCGCAGCAACGGAAGAGTAAGGAGTTCTTTGCTGATCTTTTGGGGATTAGGGATTGGGGAAGGTAAATATTGGGCCTCCGTAAACCTCACCCACACGGTGAAAAAGCGCTTTAACCTTCACCACAACCTGCCAACAAAATGTATGTTTACTCTGATCGAAGTAGCTCTAATCACAAGTCTTAATGCTGGCGACTTTGTTCACGTGCAATAGTGACTTCCTGCAAATTTTTGGTTTAAAAACTATCCTATGTCCTTTCTGGAGTTCCAAACTATGTCTGTACCAAAATTTCACGCAAATAGGTTCAATAAAGAAGACAGGCATACAGAAAGAGTTTCTTTCGCATTTATAATATTCGTTTGGATGATAATCTGTATCTTATGACATTAGAGATTATTTGTTCTTAAACTATAAGTAAAAACAGCAAAATTTCAGCCTGGGATTCATACATCATCATCATGATCACATCTTTTCTTTGTTGTTTTCTAACAACTTACCACGTTGCGCGTCGCAATTTCTGCATTGTCCTCACATAATGTGTACAAAGGACATTGCTCTGCGTTCCTTCGGTGTTGACCTTGGAGCTAAGAGCATGGGAAAATTATGTATTGTAGTCTCTATCATTAGTAAACTTTGGCCAATTTGGACATGTTCTTTTAAGTATGTATTTATTTAACCTTTATGCACACAATACATATTAGTGCATTATCTACCAGTCTGACTTTTGAGTAATGCAGATTGCTTAGCAAAAAGGCGAGTGCCAGTAGCAAGCAATTACTTAGACTAAAAATATTTATCTCGCGCGGTTTCATCTGCTACTCTGCTGATCGTAGCCTGATGCTTTATAGCCTCAGAAACATTGTAGCTAGTGGTAGCTATCTACCTATCAGTGAAATAATTTTGGCAATCCGAACAGCGGTTCAGACGATTACCCCCTACATACAAACTTACAAACTTACAATTAATTTTACCTCATTACAATTTAGTATAGAAGTATAATATAACATGCCTACGTATGTCTTGTTATATTATACTTCTATATCTATTGCACTATAAACGTGCAATGCAATGCATATATAATATTAACAATACAATTTGTACTAAATAATGTATAAGTGATACAAAAATATGGGTTACAATCTAAAACATACTTTTTTAAAGAGTCTCGTTAGAGATTCTTGTTCGTTCTTCTTTGACAGGCACCTACAACGACATACAAAAGCTAGCTAGAACTCTTGCATGAAGTTGACTTGTTTTACTTACAGGCAAAGGAACAGGGTTGATCTATATATAGCTACATTTTTGAGCATTGTCTTGTGACCAAATAATTGCAGAAAAGTTCTAGACAAGCGGGAGCGTGTCAAGCCAAGCTCTTGTCACAGAACTGGCAAGCGGCACCCCGTGTGTTACATGGACCATTTAGATCTTTTGATCTTCACGTAACTTGGAAAACATAATGCTCTTAATGCATCTTGCAAGTGCACAAAATATTTAACTGTATTTGATTGAAAAATATTCTCGTTTTGTAGTGTAAATGGTTTAACATTACTTCAAGTGCACAGTATCCTTATTATTGTTCTTCACCTAGGTACACGTCACACCCAGACCTGGAACAACAATTTGTGGATCACATAGAGTTGTTCCGTGCGCTAATAGAACCAAAGTAACACGTTGCGTGACACCCAGCACCAATCGTACAGTCGTAGACATACTGGCAAACCCGCTATTTTAATACTACTAAGTATTTTGTTATCTGAATTTCTTCTTTTCGACTGCACGGTTGGTGCGGTGGCTGGGCAACTGGGTGCCGTGCAACGTGTCGCGGGTGCGATTTCCGCACGGAACAACTCTTTGTGTGACCCACAAATTTTTGTTCCGGGTCTGAGTGTCATGTGCATGTAAAATTGTATGTTTGTGACCGCACCCACGACACAGGAGAAAATCCTAGTGTGGGGCAACGTTTTTTTTTGTTCTCTCTTCTCAATTCCATAAACACGTAGTGTAGGTACTAAACCACGGTTATCGATTGCGTCACTGAATCGCAAATAGGCTAAACCTACAACATCACCGACGTATTATACATATGTATTAATCGAAATGGTACCTCTGGTAGCTATACTATAAGAAAGTTGATACTAGTGCTGCCATCTAGGTAACTTAGATGTAAACTTACTAACTGTACGGGTATACACATAATAATATTAAAATAAAATCAATATCTGTATAAACATTTTAGTACCCTTAAATTTACATTAAAATACACTTAATAAATACTACCACATTATGTGCACTGAGCTGCTAGTAGATATGGTGTAACAGTCTTGTTTCATAACTCCGAGCGTGATTTAGATGGTGGTGCCGGTGGTGGTACAGGCTCCCGGTAGTATCTCTGGTAGATGTCATCCCAGAAGCGAGTGCGTTCTTTTAGCAATACACCACGCAGCTCTATCTTCTGTCCCAGCGACATGTGCGGTGACCTGTCAGCGCCGGCAGCGGGCCACGCAGGCAATGAAGACCCTTCAGGCACAGGTTTTCTAAAAGATATTAATAACTGTTTATAATAGAGGTTTATTGCTTAACTGAAAGTTCAGGCAGTGAACACCGAAAATCGAAGGAAAAGTTTTTTCTTTATGTATCTAGATTATTATTGTGGGATTAACCACGATTACGGCTGCAAGGGCAGCTAGTTATGTACCGTAGTCCTCGTCCTCCTCTTGGAGCAAGAACGAAACACACCCAAGAAGAAGGGAGGGAGAAATAATTTGATACTTAATTTTAAAAAACGATAATCACGGCATCCCAGAAAACCGGCGTGAAACAACTACAACGTTGTTTTTCGCCGTATGAGTGAGGTTACGGGAGGCCTAATCCTTCCCCTCCCCCGGTCCCTCCCCAATCCCTAAATTTTCAAAACCCTGTTCCCTAAAAGGTCGGCAACGCACTCGTAACTCCTCCATTGCTTACCATCAGGTAATCCGTCTGACCATTTGTTTACATACGAAAAAAAAAAAAATGTGCTGATGCAGGACATTGTCGTTTCAGATTCATTTACATCTTTTTTAGATGTTTTAATAAATAATTGTTATCTACTGCATATACTGTCACAAAAACAACTTGAGAGATTCAAATAATGTCACTTACATATGAATCAACCGCGAAATTGAGTGGAAAGAATTAACGTCTTCGAAGACAATAAAAAGAAATAGGTATCTACTTGTATAACTGGTAAAATACATACCCAGTTTTGATAAAGTTGTACCAAATTTCTCGCATTGTCTTCTTCATTTCCTGATACTCAGGCGTCGCTAGTGACTCGTCTGTATGACTTAAATGTGTCAAATTTTTGCCATCAAGTACGGCGAACGACTGAGCGCAGTGGTTGGCACCTCTTATATTAGTGTGTGGAACTACAGGAACATCTTCATCGACAAATGAGTATTCATACAAATAAACTTCATTGTTGCCCGCCTCCACGTGCAACTTAGTTGTCCAAAGCATTGGGTATGCAAAAACAACATCCGTAAAGAAATTCACGTATTCCAAAATATTATCTTCACTGATGGGTTTATCTCCAAAGTAAAATCTTTTAACATTACTAGCTACTTTTTGCCTTTCTTCTTCAGATTTAAATTTTAAGTCAGCAGGCAAAAAATCAGAGAAATTTTCATTCATTCTCTCCTTCCAAAATGAGAAGAAATCAATGCGAAATAATCCTTCCATTTCAGCAAAACCATACAACACTGGTAATTTCTTATAGTTGCCGTTCTTTAGTATAGTAAGTGGAGATTCTGTCAGGAACGTCTCTTCTCCCATATTACGCTCAACACACGGAGAGAACATGAAAGTAGAATCAGTTCTATAAAAAAATGGATCTGAAGTTAACAATTCTAAAGGAGCTGTTTTGTAGAACTGTCCAAGAGCGTTAATATCGTCTACGTTAGTAAAGTTAAGTTGTTTAGCAAAGGTTTTGGCAATCTCCACAGGGTCTCTTTGAATTGAAAATGCAGCAAGGTTTCCTCCACTTTCAGGTACAACTCTGTGGAACAAGCCTTCAGCAGATTTTGATAGCATTAACAGGTCTACTGATGCGGAGCCAGCACTGTATCCTAAGATAGTGACGTCATCTGGGTTACCACCAAAGCTGGCGATGTTCTTTTGTACCCAACGCAGCAATGCTACTTGGTCTTTCATTCCAGCATTACCTGGGGCGTCTTCAGTGCCGAGACAAAGGAAGCCATGGACACCTAATCGATAGTTGAAGGTAACCACAATAATATCTTTTGTCTTCATTAACTGTGTGGCTTTAAACATTTCTCCCCATCCCATAACGAAACCTCCTCCATGAACGTAAACTGCCACGGAGAGATTCTTTTTATTTGTGTTTGGCACAAAAACATTGGCAATCAGACAATTTTCTTGTTGCACCAGGGTTCTTAGTTGAAGATTAGAAATTGGTAATTTTGCTTGCGGGCAAACCACTTGCTTGTCTATGGCATCATATGGTTGCGAAAATTTTGGTGGGTCAACGGGTGCCTGAAAAAAGCATGACACAAAATGTAAGGCTTTATCGGACATTTTCGCTTACAGAAACCAAAATGATGGATGTATCTACTAATATATACCTTATCAGAACTCCAATTCCCCATGTTTAATAAAAATGATGATTTTCACCTCTCAAAAAAGGTTAATCCAATGTAATGTAATGCCAAAAAATTACCTGCCTTGAACTTGTCAACGCCGACCGGTGCCGTGGCGTAAGGTATATTATAGAATGTGTATATGTCCTCTGTAGGGTGCTTGCGCCCGCGCACAACCCCTTGCGCAGTTTCCACTTCCCGCCACTCGTCGTCTGCCAATGCGGCCGTCACGCACAACAGTAACACACAGGTTATCCACTGCATGGCTACGTCTGTTCACTGAGTTACACTGAGCGATATGTCGATAGCGAGCCTGTTATATAGCATTCGCGTGTGCTGATACCTATGCCGATCGATTTTTCTTCATTATGAGATTATGATGACGTTATCATATATTAACAAAAATAAAATATAATCAAATAACATAGGCAGAGTATTAAACAACGATATTGACTTTGAATTTGTAATGTATTTGTACTGCATCAACCTTTATTTCACTTTTTATGTATATTGCGTTGATCAGAAGAATCTGTCTATCAGTATGAAGGGGTGGATAGAACTGATTTGAGAGCCAAGTCAAATGTTATGACATATGCTTTAGTTTTTGAATTCAACTGTAAAGATGTGAGATAGTTAAATTTATCAGAATTATATTTTATAAGTTATAGATATTTTAAACTTAGATACTTTTATGAATTAGATTTCTTTAATACCCATAACATTCCAAATGTTATATGAGACAAATCTTGTGGATAGATTTTGTTACGTCATTAATTTGACATCATGATATTATTACGCTCACAAATATGAGCCCTGATCGTGTCTTGCCTAGGCCATGTGATTTTTTAAAGGGAGGTTTTTGTCAGTAAGAGTCTGAATCCGTCTCGCCCACCCAAGGCGGGAGAATTAACCGCATGTTTTTCCAACGTTAAAGAATAATCGTTCACGGACCAGATGGACAAAATCTTAAGTAATGATGACTGTTTATTTTTATATTTCTTTCGATAATAGTGTTATTGTACCTATTTATTTATTATTTGCATTGACATCAAACGGTGTCAAACCAGATAGCACAATACTCGACAAGATTTTCTGACTAAAAAAATTATGCGATAAAAAGCCGGAACAAAACAAAGTAAAAAGGTTAAGAAGACAGAAAAACAAGTGAAAGAATTCAAAAAAGGTGTACCAAAGTAAAACTGCCTAAAAATAAAGAAATAAATTAACACCAAACCAATTAAACTCTGTTTCGGTTAAACAAATTTGGGCATGCTGTTATAGCAGCAGTAAAATCCTTCTTTGAAACGTAGCTAGAGAGACGCCATGGTGTCCTTCGCCTAACGCAGGTACTTACTGGGGACGAAAGCTTAGGTAGGTGCCTTTTCATGAGATGATCTCCGGCCACCGAAAGCGCGGGTCTGCGGATGGCGAGTAAGGGTAGCTCGCCGCCCGACCAGAACCAGACCCGAGCGTACGGCGCTTAGCGTTCCGCGCGCGCCTCGAAGAGCTAATAGACCACCACAGACGGGGCACCATAGGGCTGATGTTCAGCCGGGGTTGCGGGGTAAGCGCAATGAGGCACTGCAACCTCGGCCTAGAGCAGGAGTAGGAACAGAGGGGTTTTTAGTCAGTAAGAGTCTGACACTCCCTCCCGCCCAACTCTGGGCGGGAGAAGTCATTTAATGATTTTTCTATGACCTCCCTTTGCGTACCGCTTCTGTAGTTGTTTAGATTTTATCAACCTATTCTTTTTTAAATTATCATTTAAAAATTTTTCAGTGCGTCTCTTATAGGCTGGAAGTCCTAACTCGTCTTTTAAAATACGCGACATGAGCCTAGGTAGCATTTATGGGGGATAGATGGAAGGACAACTGTGTCTATATATATAAAAAGTATCGGCGGCAATGCTTTTAATAAGGCTAACGGCAGCGCCACCACGACTTGCTTATAAGTAACAGAGTAAATATTGTGACAGAATACATTTTGTCGCCAACTGCTTCATTCATACCCTTGCCCTTTGCTGCAGCTTGCGCCACATCTTGGAGGAATTTTCAATACTATTTACTGTTATAGCCGGGCACTTTTTCTTATATCTTCAGACAGCTGTCCTTCGATGTACTCTCCATAGTTATATTATAACATATATTTACGCGGGTACACACTACGCTGACTATATCCACAGATGTGTTAACCGACTTTAAAAGGAAGCGAGGTTGTGTTTTGCGAATCACTGGTTTCCACGTCGACGACAATTTAAAGCCGTCCTCCCGATTGAAATTATTTGGGCATTTCTTTATTTCAAACGCTACATACTCGTATCTATTATTTAAATTTGAGTAGCCTGAAATTTTGAAAAGGTATGGATTGTGTGTTCTGTTTCTTAATGTGTTTTAATTAAGTTAAAAAATGACACATCCCCATTAGTAGAAATGATATTTATACAGAATGTGTCGTGAATAGCGGTCAAGAAGGTAATATATGGTATTATTACTAAACTTTTGAACTTCCCAGAGAAAAACCACATTTTTTGGTGGTCTCATGAAAATTTTACTGTCATTTATATCAAAAGAATTTTGTTTTATGTTTACTTTCTGTGAATTTTTACTGAAGCTTATATTTAAATAAAAAGTCTTTTTGATTTAAATATAAGCTTTGTTTTGGTCTAAAAATATATTAATTTGTGAATTTACAACAAAATTTTGCCACTATGAAATACTGGCTGTTCGTAAGGCTGTGCAAGTGCAAGCAATATCATTATTCCATGCTGATGTGTGTTATGCTCCGTAAAGTGGTGTATCTACCTAGATCCATTTTCCATAAAAAGGTCGACCAAGAAATCTAACTCAGAATGGCAATGTTCGGGATGGTACGTCAGATTTTTGTATCTAAAATCCCGCAGTGGCTGAAGATTGCAACAGGCAGACGTGGTCTCTTACTTTTGATCAGTTAGAGTCACCCAGGTAGCGATCGAGAGAACTATGCTTGCAGGTTGTTTTCGCAACAAAATCCAAAATGTGGAAATTACGGACGTAGCTCTTAAAATCTGAAGGCTTTTTTGTGGGTCATCAAGTTACTTTCTCCACCCTGGATGGGCGAGAGGGAGAGTCAGACTCTTACTGACTAAAAACCACCCAGTTCGTTTTCTTGCGCCAAGCCAAAGTACATTATTAGGAGAAGGTAGGATATCACGGTGGTAAAGCGGGGCCATAGGAAAATAGTTGATAGAATGTTGTTACAATATTTTTTATTACGCCATCTAACGGCATTTAGCAAGGGTTTTTAGAGTCACAAATAGTAGTTCGATAGTGTGAATTTTAAGTGTTTTATCTCATTTTGTTATAGCTTTTATAACCTCAAAATATTTTACGCATCTTGCGACACTACTTTGGGAAAGATGGGGTAGTACCCTATACATATACATATATCCTTAAAAAGAAACAACGACAGCGTTGTGTTTCACCGTGTGAGTGAGGATACCGGAGGCCTACTCATTCTCGTCCCCCAATCCTTCCCCAAACCGTAATCCCCAAAAGGTAGGCAACGCACTCGTAACTCCTCTGTTGGTGCAGGTGTCCATGGTCGGCGCTTACAACTTACCATCAGTAATCCGTCTGCATGGGCTTGTGCTGGTTTAATAAAGTGTTTGTAAATTTTTTTTTTCGTTGATGTAAATCCTTTTTACTCCGAACAGAATTTTCACTGTGACGAGGCGGCAGTTTTGGTTGCATCAAAATCGCGGTGCAAAAGTAAGTGGGAGCTTTGACGTTGGTCGAACGTGGCACAAGTATAACTATTGGAAATTAATTCAACATTAACGCTGTTTACGTATCCCAGAAAACGAATGAAGCATGATTTGCTCATTAGAGCTCCACCGAATTCATGGGCTGAATGTTTACCCAGTATTTTTATGAGCTGGCCCTAACAGCATGGTTAAAAGTTCAATCGATAAGAGTAACATTACAACCAACACCGACAGTAATAGCGTCAGCTCATGAAAATCAAATAGCCTCAAACTCTACAAAGAACATTGCAGTACTTTGACCAATTTTACAAACCACATTTTTAGTACAGCGAGCAATGTAAATGATGCTTTGGATAATGCATCATTTCATTTTATTAGCCCAAAACAATTAATGCCTCTGTCATTAATGAAAAAGACAAGGCAAGTTAGAAGAAAATAAAAGCTGCCATTATCACTACTTTACCTTATAAAGCCGAGTTAGAAGATTCTTGATTTGTGCTATAATAAAGGATTTCTTGATTAATTACTTTAAAGTCCCGACTTAATCCCACCTACCCCTAGATTTTACCCGCAGCTCCGGCTGAAAACCTACAAGCTGAAGTGGCAATGGGTAGGTCATATCGCTCAAAAGACGGAAGGTCGATGGACCAGAAAGTGCTCGAGGAGCAACCACGAACCGAATGACTACATAACGTATTTGCCGCGGTTGCCAATTTAGCGCATTAAGGCACGACGAGTCAGTAAGTGTCTGACACTCCCCTCACAATATCCTGGACGAGAGGAGTCAGGTGATGATTTTTCCTGCTCAAAAAAACCAAGGTTTATTTGCTCAATAAATAATTGCGAACATTTGGAACCGTGGTTCCGTTTATGGTACGTCTTATGCAGGCAGATCGCGAGAGTTAACTGTGTTCAGAAATGTCGTGTAGTCTCCACATGCATCATCCAGTGACAGTCTTTTATAAAATAAAGTAAAATTTAGCGGCCTGTTCGGATAAGTCGCATGTTTAATAGAAAACAGAACTAACTCATAAAATAGGGTATTTCAAAATTGGACCTAATAGTTGAAAAATACTTTTCAAGGTGCAAATTCCTTCTTGTTTGAGTTAAGCCTCTTTTCCATTAAGCATATAAATGAATAATTGGATATTTGTTACTCTTTCACGTAAAAACTATTCAACGGATTTTGAACAGTAACGGTACAGAGATAGATTATAGTCTGGAATAACACATAGACTACTTTTCCCCAAGTAACGAGCTGCCTATAAAAGTATAATATTTCTTTCTTCTAGATACTTCGTCCGCACTCCGCAGCTATGTCGTTGTGGCCCGGTGGTTAAGGAGCCCGCTTCTCATGCATGAGGGTGAGGGTTCGAAACCTGGCAAGTACCAATGTGACTTTTTCTGAGTTATATGTACTTTCTATAATTATTTACATACGGACACCACTGACATACGGTGAAAGCAAACATCGTGAGGAAACCTGGACTGATATAATTTCTAATTATAAGTTTGAAATCGCCAACCCACAATGAGCAAGCGTGGTGATTAATGATCTAATCTTCTCTGTATGAGAAGGCCTTTGCTCAGCAGTGGGCACTTATAGGCTGATGATGATGACTCCGCAGCTATCACTGCGGTAAAAAATATAAAGCGGATTTTGCGCAGTGACTGCTAATTAATATAATTTACGTCTGAAATCTAATCTTATTTATACTGCCTATATGTAGATCTGATTGAGATTCCGGATCTAATTTGTTTTGATCTTAATATTATACATTATATCAATGTTTAGCCAGTCAGGATGAATAGCAAATGATACCAGATAACTGGTAGTGAACATCCATTTTTATTTAGATAATAAAATTATTATACCTAACTACTTATCACTTGCATTGTCATCATTCAGTGGCAAAATGAGATTTCACAATTCTCGACAATATTGACTGCATAAAAATTATCATGCGATTAAATAATAATTATTAATCAAAATTCGTTCCCTCCATTCGCAAGATCCTATTGAGGCATTGATTTGACTAGTATCAGGTAACAGCTTGATGGAATATACCTACATATAGGTAAACAAATTAAGTATTAAAATTACGTACGTAGACTGTTAAATTCTTTAACCTAGAAGCTGTTCATTTCCAAGTACAGATTAGATTTCTTTTAATTTTAAATGTTTTTTTTTACTTTGCCCTCGTTAGGATATGTTGCTGAGTCGTGGGTTAGTTTACTAACATACAATTTCACATACACAATTACACATGACACCCAGACCCGGAACAAAAATTTGTGGTGCAAAGAGTTGTTCCGTCCCTCCGGAGGATTTTTCGTAAGTATATCTTCGGTGGTGTTAGGTTTCTAGAGTTAGAGCTTTTGTCAGTTTATTCACGTTAGTAAGTCTTGTTTTCAATAAATTTTGTTATTATGCCTCGCGATAGTTACTATTCAAAAACATAGAATGTCGGTTATTTTATACAAAAAAAAATTACGATTTTTTTTTGTATGCTTTGGTGATTTTAGGTCGTATCTGGAGAGAAGATCTAGAAATAGTAAAGGTTACCTACCTCGAATTTGTATAGATAACAAGAATTAAGACAGTGTTAAAAACAAGAATAATTGGGTAGTTTTCCAGGTCAAAAATAAATTAATTCAACGTTTCAATACCATAAAATATTGAAAAATAACTATACTTTTATTCATCGATAGATCGATACACTGAATTTTAGATATTTTTTAACTAATCTTTAAGAAATAAGTATACTATTTGACGCAAAAAAACTGTAAGTCATAACTCAGTTTTTCATTCAAATTTCATAGAAAAGTATCGTTTTTGACATTTGGATAAAAGAAATGAATTTGACTAGTATAGTTGGAAACTACCGTATTGCATAACTCGCATTTTATTAAAATACTGTTTGAAATCTGGCAACATTTTTATAAGGTTTTGGTTGATGGAACTTCTGAAGTTAATACAAACATTTATTGCGATTTTCACGACCAACTGACACGGTCAGCCGGGGTTGCGAGGTAAGCGCAATGAAGCAAGACGACCCCGGCCCAGAGCAGGAGAAGGAACGGGGGGTTTTTAGGCAGTATGAGTCTGACACTCCCTCCCGCCCGACCGTGGGCGGGAGAACCCATTTGATGATTGTCCCCTCTCAAAAAAATAAATAAAACTGTGACACCAATAGGGCCATTCACGTAATTTTTGGACAGATGAAGTACTTAAGATATTTCTATTGCCGCTATATAAACGAATTAATGTTAAAAACTAAATACAATAAATTTTTAATGTTAATAAATAATTTCGGAACGTAATCAATACAAACACACAATTGAATTTTTCCTCTCTAAAATATTAGTATAAGCTAAACAATTACAAATATTAGCGTGTAAACAAATGCGAGTGGAAATAGAATAAAAGTTTGAAGCGTATTTAAAATAATCGATAATACGATAATTGACAACATGTCATATTAAATTGATTAAAAACTAGCAACTTTTGCGCGGTTTCGCCCGCTGCTCAGCTCAATTTAATCTTAGCGTGATGTTTTATAGCCTATAGCGCTCAGGAACATTGTAGCTATATATCAGTGAAAGAATTTTGGCAATCCGACCAGCGGTTTCAAAGATCCCCTCTACATACAAACTTACAAATTTTATTTCTCTTTAATAATAGTACAGATAACGTGGCGACGTCGCTGCAACGCGCACATTCGCGCATCAAGAGTCCCTTTATGACAAGTTGTACCAGAATGTGCCCCATAATTAACCCATGGCAAGTATATAAATTTATTATGTTTTTTTAAATAAAACGTTGGTCTACACCAGGATTTTTCTCCTGTGTCGTGGGTGCGTGTACAAACATACATTTTTCATTATTTTTGTTCCTGGCCTTCATGTCTGATGCCTAATAAAAACAGTTTTCTTTCCCTTTCTTTTACATGCACATCACACCTAGACTCGAAACAACAATTTGTGGATCACACAAAGAGTTATTCAGTGCGGGAATCGAACCTGCGACACATTGCGCAGCCAGTTGTCCAGCCGCCACGCCATAATTGGGTAGTTTCCTAGGTCAAAAATAAATTAATTCGACATTTCAATACAATAAAATATTTAAAAATAATTATAAAATATACTTTTATTCATCGATCGATCGATACACTAAGTTTTAGATATTTTGTAGCTAATTATTAAGAAAAAAGTAAGCTATTTGACGCAAAAATACTATGACGTCATACCTCAGTTTTTCATACAAATTTCATAGAAAAGTATCGTTTTTGACATTTCGATAAAAGTATTGAATTTGACTAGTTGGAAACTACCGTATTATGTTATTTTTATGTGATGTGAAATACATAATATGTTCTTGAAAAATAAGATTTATTATTATTAAACAAAGTTTTTGTGTTGTAACAATGACCAAGCATATACGCGGACACATAATAATATAGTCATGTTACTATATTTACCGATATCAATTTGTTATACCTACATCAGAGTTGGTGATAATAACAGAAGTGTTTATTTATATCATTCACGTAAACAAGATAAAGATACGAATTTGTTATGGACGATTATATTAACGTTCTTGAATAAGAAAACTGCATAATGTAGGTTATGTATGCTTCTTTTCAACCGACTTCAAAAAAGGAGGAGGTTCTCAATTCGACGCGTATTTTTTTATGTATGTGCTCTAATTACTTGAGGACGCCTGGACCGTTTTGGAAAATTCTTTTTTTATTTGATAGGGTCCCATTGTTATGAGGTCATGATCTGATGATGGAAGCCTGGAGAAATCGAGAGGAACTTTCAAAAATTGTGTGGGCGACTAGTGCGTTCGTGAGTTTTTTATTAAATGGTTTATAGCACTATAATTTGAAGAAAGTCTGGTGTAGAATCTGATGATGGAACCGAGAGTCAGTCGAGAGAACTCCTCAACGATTCATAGCAGCTACCTTGTGTTTGAGCTTGATTAATTTGTTTTGATAAGAACTTTACACCTAGATGGATTGTGACTGTCATTAGGGATCAGATGATGAAGACGAATGACAGTCTAGGGAACTCCTCAATGGTTTACAGTAGATACCTCGTGTTTGGACTTTATTTATTAATATTGATCAGAACTTTCCCTCTCCTAGAGAGTAAGCCTATGTCCCAGAAGTGTGAACATTAAAAAGGCTGGTGATGATGATGATGATGAGAACATTCCCATTTCTTGGGATCTATATTTTTTTAATCGACTGGCTGCTTTAGTAGGCCTACCCATAGCTACTTAAAAAAAAAGTAAACGTTTTTTAGTTTATTTATTTACTAGCTTTTGCCCGCGACTTTGTTCGCGTGGAATAATAACTTCCTGCAGATGTTTGGTTTAAAAACTATCCTATGTCCTTTCTCGAGTTCCAAACTATGTCTGTACCAAATTTCACACAAATAGGTTCGGTAGTTTAGGTGTGAAGAAAAGACAGAGAGACGCTCTGTCTCTGTACTTTCGCATTTATAATATTAATTTGGAATTGGATTTATTTAAACTTTTGCGCAAACATCTGTGTACAAGGTGTGGTAATGCCACAGGCATTCTCTGCCATTCAAATCTTTGGGTGATGTAAAGATAACAGTAGGTGCAAGAAGCCAGCAAAATCTTCTTCAATATAATAGCAGTTTTGGTCTTCTAATAATAACGTAACGTTTTCCATAAAGCCGAACAGTTTTTTGCCTTGTGAGTGAGTTTCCCGGGGCCCCATCCATCCCCAATTCAGGCCCAAACATGCCGGCAAGTTACAAGTTGTAACTGTTCTGGTGTCATAGGTGTCCATTGACGACAAAAAAACACAAACAGGTGAAGAGGTCTTTTGCGATTTTTAAATATCATAAAATGGAGAAAACAATACTAAAAATTAAGAACAAGATCATCATAATCATCATCATCATCATTATCGTCATCATCCCCATATCACCGTCATCACATCATCGTCATGACATCATCATCATCATCGTCATCATTATGATCGTCATCAGTATCATCACCATTATCATCATCATCATCATCATCAGCAGCCTATTTCCACCAACTGCTGGACATGCCACTATACGAATAGCTATGGTCAGTCTACCTAGCTGGATCATCAATACATTTACTGTATTACGTTAACAACTTAACTATGTTTTTGATGATGGGGCAGATCATCATAGGGACTCCTCCGCCCTGGTTAGAGCGAGAAAGAGTGTCAAACTCTAACTTAATTAAAACCAGACCTGATCCTTTGCCTGCTGCGTGATACATAACAAAAGGACAATAAGTAATACTAAATAGTACTTATGAATAAAGCTGTAAAAATTTAGTGAGTGACCTGACGAAATAGCCATATATTGAAAGGCACACGTATGTAAATGCTTCTTACATTTAAGTACAATGCTTTACGTTTCCTAATAAACAATAGTTTTTCCTTTGATTGTTTTTCCTTGAAGTCTTTATTCAACTCCTTAGTCTATAGTCAACCATACATACTTTCATTATAGCAAAAAGATTTTTAAAAATTGAATTTCAAATGGAACACCTTTTTTAAACTGGCGGATATTAGTCCGTCGAGATTACACCTTAGGGAACTGGTTTAATATCTCAGTTGCCATAAAGAAAAAAAAGTTTACGAACTATTTCTTTTTTGGTAAATATGGCTTTTAAAATCAAAACAGACTTATTAGTAGTTAGTACTTTATGGCAATATTACTGAACTAGTTGTGATGTTATTTATTCAGGTAAACAAATACGTTACTCAGCGTGGCCCTTCAATAACAAATCACAAGAAACATCTTCATACACAAGAGTAATAAGTATTGTTCTAAATATATTAAAAATTATGTTGCTAAGCCAAAGTAAGCTAGATGGGCGATCGCTTTATAATCTAGTAATTTTTTTATAAACTAAGCAAATGATTAATTACGCAAGTAACTAATCGTAATAATTTCACTATCGAGAAGATTATATTTTATCGATTCGAGGCATATCAACTCGTACAAATAATATAAAACATGCCGGCTACGGACATATCGCTCAGAGAGTAACTCAGTGAGCAGACGCAGCCATGCAGTGGCGGACGTGTGTGTTACTGTTGTGCGTGATGGCCGTGTTGGCGGACGACGAATGGCGGGAAGTGAAAACTGCGCAAGGGATTGTGCGCGGGCGCAAGCACCCTACAGAGGACATATACACATTCTATAATATACCTTATGCCACGGCACCGGTCGGCGTTGACAAGTTCAAGAAACAAGAAAATAAAACCGATCTTATGTTCCTCTGAAAGTTTAAGTACTTGTGTTATTTGCAAGACTCACTTCTTATCCAGTTATGAGACAAGTCCTATAACCTAGTACTTACAATTTACCTAATGGAATTCTTAAATTCATGGTGATTTATGAAAAACTGTAGAACTGATTTTTTCTAGAAACAATTTAACCAGTGAAGCAGTATTCTTAACATAGTTAAGTGAACATATGCATGTATATGTATATACTAAAAATAAATTTTCGTAATCAGCGTTTCTTGAAAGAAAAGATAATATTTACATACTTATTATAATTTTTCTCATAATCAAAAATATAAAAAGCTCTTAGTTGTCAGTTTATTTTATTTAATCCTTTTTGTTATACAATGATCTGGCAATTTTTATTTCCATTTTACATACGATATATATAAACACACCTTTGAATTAGACCTGTGATCTTATACTAAACATAGAATAATTTACATAATTGAGCAAAGTTCTTGCCCTGTAGCAACACAAGACGAGATATAAATATACTTATTGTTTACGCACCATGACTTAACACATTTACAAGTCACAAAGTGGTGTGAAGCTATAATTATTAATTCGTTATCCAATTTTGAATATGATGATAAGATGAGTTGTTTATTTGTACCTTTTACCTAAGCATTTACAGATAAGCACTTGATATGAATGATAAACCAAATCTTTAAATTATTGCTTAACTTTAAGTAGGTATCATCATCATGTACATGTTCATCAGTAGGTAAACATCACACTATTTTTTATTGCAATATAGTAAAACACTTAGAATCATACAAAGAGTTACTACCCAATAACAATAGGTGTTAAAAAACATAAAAAACTGTTCTGTTCGAGTACTTTTAAACTTTAATTAGCATTATAATTAGGCCCTTTTTGGGGCCACTATCCTTTCCACTCAGTAAGACAAAATCTACACTTAAGATTCATATCATACGTGTCATCCTTTTCCAGGCACCCCTTCACCCGCCAGTATGGTTGCAACCATATGATGCCATTGACAAACAAGTGGTTTGTCCTCAACCTACATTCCCAATTTCTGATCTCCAACCAAGTACCCTAGTGCAACAAGAAAATTGTCTGATTGCCAATGTTTTTGTGCCAAACACAAATAAAAAGAATCTCTCCGTCGTAGTTTATGTTCATGGAGGAGCTTTTATTATGGGATGGGGAGAAATGTTTAAAGCCACACAGTTAATGAACAAAAAAGATATTATTATAGTTAACTTCAACTATCGACTAGGTGTCCACGGCTTTCTTTGTCTCGGCACTGAAGATGCACCAGGTAATACTGGAATGAAGGACCAAGTTGCATTGCTGCGTTGGGTGCAAAAGAACATCGCCAGCTTTGGTGGTAACCCAGATGACGTCACTATCATAGGATACAGTGCTGGATCTGCATCTGTAGACTTGTTAATGCTTTCTAAGTCTGCTGAAGGATTGTTCCACAGAGTAATACCTGAAAGTGGAGGAAATCTCGCTGCATTTTCAATTCAAAGAGACCCTGTGGAGATTGCCAAAACATTTGCTAAACAACTTAACTTTACCAACGTAGATGATATTTATGCTCTTGGAGAGTTTTACAAGACCGCACCTTTAGATTTGTTGATGTCAGATCCATTTTTCGATAGAACTGATTCTACTTTCATGTTTAGTCCATGTGTGGAGCGCAAAATGGGAGAAGAGACGTTCCTGACAGAATCTCCACTAACCATACTAAAGAACGGCAACTACAAGAAGTTACCGGTGTTGTATGGTTTTGCTGAAATGGAAGGACTGTTGCGTATCGATTTCTTTCCATTTTGGAAAGAAAAGATGAATGTAAAATTTTCAGATTTTCTACCTGCTGATTTAACATTTAAATCTGAAGAAGAAAGGGAAGAAGTGGCTCATAAAATTAAAAGATTTTACTTTGGAGATAAACCCGTCAGTGAAGATAATATTTTAGAATACGTGAATTTCTTTTCGGATGTCATTTTTACATATCCAATGCTTTGGGCAACTAAGTTGCACGTGGAGGCAGGCAACAACCAAGTATATTTGTATGAATACTCATTTGTCGATGAAGATGTTCCTATAGTACCACACACTAATATAAGGGGTGCTAACCACTGCGCTCAATCCATGGCTATAATGGATGGGAAAAATATAACTCATATAGATGAATCTTCAGCGACTCCTGAGTTTCAGAAAATGAAGAAAACAATGCGAGAAATTTGGTACAACTTTATTAAAACTGGGTATGTATTATCTTTAATGTAATTATAATCCACCTCTTTTAAATAACTGATTTAGTTAGTGTCCTCCTTCTATTTTGATTATGTTGATGTAATTAGAAATCTGCCAATGATATATGAGACATCGACATTTATCATTTCTAACTCACTGCACTACTTAATTAAGTATCTAATAACAAAGTTGTTCGTTACTCTTAGTGTCTAGTTGTCAATAATAATTATATCCAGATTATCGAAACTCATAATATTCTCATATTATAATGAAAATCCTCAGACTCCAAGTTTTTGACTGCCATTGTACCACATAAGCAGCCTCAATGCCTCAATGAGCCATGTAATTAAAATAATACATCGTATCTTTCAGAAAACCTGTGCCTGAAGGATCTTCATTGCCTGCGTGGCCCGCTGCCGGCGCTGACAGGTCACCGCACATGTCGCTGGGTGAGAAGATCGAGCTGCGTGGTGTACTGCTAGAAGAGCGCACTCGCTTCTGGGATGACATCTACCAGAGATATTACCGGGAGCCTGTGGCACCGCCAAAACCACCGCCCAAACCTCACTCTGAATTGTAAAACAAGACTGTATTGTCCGTCATATTTTTACGCGTAGTAATAAGCTTAGAAATATGATGTATTCTAGTGCTTGCCAACCCAAAAGCACTTCTTTTAAATACCAAATGTTTACTTTCTATTTCAAATTAAGTAAAGAGGTGATGTGTGTATTGTTTATTGGTGTGGTTTAAGCATATGCAGGAGCTTTTAGTTTATGTAAATACTCTGCGAGTAGTTTTGATGTATTCTTATCTTATATTGTGAATAAACATTTCTACTTTTTTAATAGTTTTTTTTGTTCATACGATTTCTTCCTTATTTGAGTCTACTCTTACCGTCACACACACACACACACACACACATATAAATGAAAGGAGAAGTCATTTATCCTACTTTCCTATCATATCAGTAAACCATTTAGTTTCATTTTATGATTAGATATAAAACGCAACCTAGATACATGGATCGACACAAAATATATTGTTAATAATTGTTCGGGTAATCAGATATGCTTGGTAAATTAAACCTTTTTCCACGTTTATGTAGCCAGTGCTTTGGTGAATCAGCTAAAATCATTATTTGTTCCAGGCACCTTTACCACCACCGGTGTGGCTGGAGCCCTATGATGCTATTGACAAATCAGTGGTTTGTCCACAAGCTTTAGCCTACCCAGAACTTTTACCGAAAAACTCGATGACAAAAGAAAATTGTTTAATCGCTAACGTCTATGTACCAAATACGCAAAAGAAAAATCTGTCAGTTGCTGTTTATGTACATGGGGGAGCTTTTATAGTTGGATATGGAGATGCTTTAAAATATACGCACCTTATGGATACAAAAGACATGATAGTTGTAACGTTCAACTATCGAGTGGGTGTCCATGGTTTCCTCTGCCTCGGTACCGAAGACGCGCCAGGTAATGCTGGAATGAAGGACCAAGTAGCGTTACTGCGTTGGGTACAAAAGAACATCGCCAGCTTTGGTGGTAACCCAGATGACGTCACAATTCTAGGGTATAGTGCAGGGTCTGCATCAGTAGACTTATTAATGCTTTCTAAGTCAGCCGAAGGATTGTTCCACCGAGTCGTACCAGAAAGTGGTGGAAGTCTTGCTGCATTTTCAATTCAAAGAGACCCTCTAGAAATTGCCAAAACTTATGCCAAGCAACTACACTTCTCTGATGTCGATGACATACATTCATTGGGGCATTTTTATAAAACGACGTCATTAGAAGTGTTACTGTCTGATTCATTTTTTCTTAGAACTGATTCTACATTCATGTTCTCTCCGTGTGTGGAACGTGATATTGGAGAAGAAACATTCCTGACAGAATCTCCTCTTACTATATTAAAGGAAGGAAAATACAAAAAGTTACCTGTTCTATATGGTTTTGCTAACATGGAAGGACTATTCCGAATTGACTTATTTAATGTTTGGAAGCAAAAGATGAATACGAGGTTTTCCGACTTCTTGCTACCTGACTTGCAGTTTAAATCTGAAGTAGAAAAAGAAGAAGTCGCCAATGAGATTAAAAAGTTTTACTTTGGTGATAAGCCTGTAAGCGAAGAAAATGTTTTAGGATACGTGAACTACTTTTCGGACGTCATATTTACTTTTCCAATGCTTTGGGCAACTAAGTTGCACGTGGAGGCGGGCAACAACCAAATCTATTTATATGATTACTCATTTGTGGACGAAGATGTTCCTTTGGTGCCACATACTACTGTCCAAGGTGCAAACCACTGTGCTCAATCAATGGCTATAGCTGATGGCAAAAATTTCACACACTCAGATGAATCTTTAGCAACACCGGAGTATCAGAACATGAAGAAGATAATGCGAGAAATATGGCACAACTTTATTAAAACTGGGTAATTATTTTTCATTTGTTATTAGAAATTGGTAAAACTTACTAGTACTAATGAATATTTTAATTTTACAAACACCATTACTACTATTCTTCTGCTACTTGTAGTATGAGTACTTGATTGTCGTTTTTAACTAACTCATTTATCTGCAGAACAATAATTTGATAAAAAAACATTGGTCTATCTATATATCCAATAATAAAAATAACAAAATCTTTCAGAAAACCCGTACTTGAAGGTTCGTCATTGCCTGCGTGGCCCGCTGCGGGCGCTGACAGGTCACCGCACATGTCGCTGGGACAGAAGATAGAGCTGCGTGGTGTACTGCTAGAAGAACGCACTCGCTTCTGGGAAGACATCTACCAGAGATACTACCGGGAGCCTGTACCTCCAAAACCGGCATCGCATTTTGAATTATAATAAAATCTGGTAGAGTGGTAATCTTTATTGCAATAATTGTTTTGTATGTTAGTTAAAAGATACCCAAGTAATTTACTTTAGTGCAATCAAGTGGTAAATTGTAGACATAATGTTTGTGAAATTACTGGATGCTAGCTTTGACTAAGTAAATTGTAAGTTTTTGTGAATTGTACCATGTCATTCTTTTTCTTTTAGTAAATACACATTACATATGTCTTTATTAATTAAGTATTGTTGTGTTATTATTCTTATGTGCATGAGGAACCTACCCAGATACAATTCATTACTCGGTATGCCCTGAAACTATTTGCTCAATCAGATTTGCTTGACGCGCTTACGACTACAACCAATATAGCAACAATGTGCCGTACTTCATACATCAAGCAAGTTGGGATAGGTAATGAAATCTAAAATTAGCCAAGAACGACGAACGCCGTCTGAGTTAAAATTTGTCCTTTTCCTGTTTGGCGCAGTCATTGTCCTGGCCTGTGATGAATACGGTCAACAGAGAGATACAACACAAATTGCCCATTATAAATTGTTTGTGTCCTGGAGATATTTAACTTAACGATTTATCCCACATATTGAAAGAGCGAATGCATTGAGAATTGATGAGAGAATTATTTTTCAAGTACAAACAAGTCTTTGAAAAATAATTCAATATTGACACTGAAAAGTCAAGGATAGAAGGAAGAGGAAAGGGAAGTTATAGAATAGATTTTGATTATTTCATTACCAACATAGCCGTAGCGGTCGCCAAATTGACAACATCCTTATTAAATTTCGTAACTGCACGCTACTTTAGGGGTCACGAAACAAGTGGTCTATTTGATTGAATTATTGATAAAGAGTTCAGGTGTTCACAGTGTCTCAAAAGTGAGTTGGTATTTGTGGAAGCCGAAGTAGAAATTGACATTGCATCTGTTATTCGACCGAGTGCCTTGTGTGAATTTCTTTTAAACACGTTTATGACGTTAGATGATGTTGAGCAACCAGTAAGAGGGACAAGCCAAACAGAGCACCTAACGTTATAAACACGTTGATCTAAAACGCCGCACTAGGAAATCTGATTATAGTATTGACGATATACAATAATTACTATAGTTGTAGAAAAGTACGATCAATTTCTGGGCAGTCACAATCACTTTTTGCTACATAGTGTAAAACAAAGCGTCATTGCGGTTTTTTTAATAGATAGAGTTATTGAAGAGTAACGTTTATTTGAATTCCAATGAACACCCATTACATAGTGGAGAAATTTGATACCAGGGCTGCACCCGTGGGAAGCCGGAGCGGGGCGTAAGTATGGTGTAAAAATGAGAAGTTAAGAAAAGGAAAGGTCCTTAAAGTTATGTATATAAGTATTAGATAGGGAATGTGAAAATAATACTTTACTGGTAGGACCAACTCTAGCCATTGACAAAACTAAATAAAAACAACAGTTGTAACGCGTTATTGTATTGAATATAAAATTAAAATGTCAAAATAATTTAGATTAAGTTGGAATTATTAGAACAGGTTATATTATTAGCAATCACTTGGTTCGTACAAAATATTATGTAGTAGTCTCAAAACCGTATACAGTGTATAATTTTAATTTTAAGATGTTGTACTTTGTGCTGTTAATATTGTGTGTAGTGACATGTAGTAGCGAAAATGACGATGATTGGAAACTAGTGCATACAGTACAAGGACCTGTGCGTGGCCGCAAGGATCCTGACGGAATGTACGTATTTTATGGCGTACCGTATGCTACTGCTCCGACTGGTGAAGATAAATTCAAGGTAGGTACATACAATACAATTTTAACAAAAATTAGAGTGTATGCGGTTTGTGATATAAGTGTAAATCTTCCCACTCATGGTCTTGTATCAATTTCATATAGGAACATATACTATCAGATGCATTGTTACAAAACATATAGTTTAGACCTAGAGAACAAATATGTAGTTATCAAACGGACCTGCAAAGCTAAAAAGTTATTAAATTTTTTCTGCACATTTTAGGCTCCGCTTCCACCACCAAAATGGGAGGAACCGTTAATTGCAATAGATAAAGGTGTAGTATGTCCACAAGCAAAGTTTGGAGCACAAGCATCGAACTTAAACACTCAAGAAGATTGCCTTATTGCGAACATTTATGTCCCAGACACTGAAGATAAAAACCTTTCCGTCATGGTACATATTCACGGAGGCGCTTTACGATATGGATATGGTAATTCATATAAAGCAAAAAATCTAATGAGGAGTAAAAAATTAATTGTTGTGAATTTTAATTATCGTCTTGGAATTCATGGATTCATTTGTTTAGGAACTGAAGGTGCTCCAGGAAACGCAGGTTTAAAAGACATGATTGCAGCACTACGTTGGGTTAAAAACAATATTGCTGATTTTGGCGGGAACCCCAATGACATAACTATCGCAGGTTACAGTGCAGGAGCTACTGCTGCAGACCTGTTAATACTCTCGAAATCTAGCCGAGGACTTTTTCAGAAGGTCATCATTGAAAGTGGGTCAAACCTAGCTGAATTTGCTGTCCAGTTCGCATGTTCGCAATCCGCATGAAAATGCTAAGATCCAAGCTAAAGCTTTGAATTTCACTGGAGATCCAAATGATATTCTTTTATTAGAGAAGTTTTATAGATCTGCTTCTTACGACACATTAACAATGGACGCCTTTAAGCCTAGAAAAGACTCAACGTACCTATTCACTGCATGTGTTGAACGTGATATAGGAACCAATGAAGTATTCTTACACGATTCTCCCATAAATATTTTACAAAAAGGTGATTTCATAAAAGTGCCAATGTTATATGGATTTGCAAATATGGAAGGATTGTTACGGATACCAAACTTTGATATTTGGAGCAACGACATGAATAAAATGTTTTCAGACTTTCTTCCTGGTGATTTGGCATTTGGTAACGATACAGAAAAGAATGAAATGGCTGAGAAAATTAAAGAATTTTACTTTCATGAAGAGCTTGTAAGTCGTAGTAATATAATAGGATATGTTAACTACTTCACTGACGTGATGTCAGCTTATCCTTCGTTAAAATCAGTAAATGTGAACATGCATAGTGGCAACAATGAAATATATTTATATGAATACTCATTTGTGGATGATGATACACCATTTGTGCCTTACACAAAAATAAAAGGTGCTTCTCATTGCGCGCAAACGCTGGCTGTTTTGGATGGAGTTTCTGAGTCGAACCCAGATGAATGCAACGCTTCACTTGAGTTTCGAAACATGAAGAAAATCATAAGAGAGTTGTGGCATAACTTTATTACTAATGGGTAAGGCTTTTATGTGTTTAAGAAGTTGTTTAATACTACCACTAGTAGTATTTAGCTGTAAGTAAAGGGCTTTGAAACCGAGATGAATGATCATTGCTTAGTACATACATAAGTAGGTACGTAGTCCAACTCGTATTCAGATACTACTATATCCGTACTTATCTATAGGTCCAGCGAGAATACTAGCGGTCAAGACCGCACGCCCCACCCCCCGTCCCCTCCAAGTCTAATAATCAAATCACCCATGAACTTGTAACTCCTTTGGTATTACAGATGTCAATATGTAGCGCCGATTGGTTACCATCAAGTGATCAATCCGCTCATTTTGTGAGATAAATTGTAACAAAAATAATAAAAAATGCTAGTTTTGCAGTTTAGTGTCAACGTTATTCATTATTATATGTACCTAAACGATGTTGATAAACCACTTAAATAAGTATTCTCAAACACACTTGAAACGTATACACAGGAAAAATCTCACATTGTCAATGCACAGCACAGATAACTGCCACTCTATGAACAAGATAATTGTTTGCAAATAGATTAATAATACTTACTTACATTATATGAATATAATGTGAAATATGATAAGGTATAGATGTATTTTTGCTATTATTTCACGCCACGCAAAAACGGATAGACCGATTTGGTTGAAATTTGGTTCCTACGTAGATAGGTGATACAAACGGGGCCCTAAAGGGCTGATGTTCAGCCGGGGTGGCGGGGTCAGCGCAATGAGGCACCGCGACCTCGGCCCAGAGCAGGAGACGGAACAGGGGGGTTTTTAGTCAGTAAGAGTCTGACACTCCCTCCCGCCCGGCCCTGGGCGGGAGAAGACATTTGATGATTTACCCTCGAAAAAAAAAACGTAGATAGGAGATGCCCTGGATCATTGCATAGCCTGATTTTTATCAACATACCATACACGACGCCGCAGGCTAACGCTAGTAGTAATATATTTTTTATAATATTTTCAGAGAACCGGTACTTAAGAACTCTTCGCTCCCTGCATGGCCAGCAGTAAGTGCCAGCAAATCCTCGTATATGTCTTTGGGACGCAAGGTTGGACTTCGTGAGGGTCTGCTGTCCGATCGAGTTGACTTCTGGAGTGGTATCTATGACAAGTTCTACAGACAGCCTGTACCGCCACCAGTATACACAGAAACTTGATTTTAAAAACGTATGCTTTATTTTATATAGTTATATATATATGTATGTCATATTGATTACAATTAGGTGATACTGTTTTGTAAGAGATGTATAGCGTCACATTCGGAAGAAATACTAAATCTCACTTTAAACAAATGAAAAATACTCAACATAGTTTTTTTTGTGAGGGGACAAATGACTTCTCCAGCCCAGGGACGGGCGGGAGATAGTGTCAGACTCTTACTAAATAAAAAAACCCCTGTCGCGGTGCCTCATTGCGCTTACCCCGCAACCCCGGCACTTAACATAGTTAATTGCTAAATTAATAAAATAATAATTTTGTTTAGCATGAAAAGGAACATAGGGCTTATAGTCAATAAGAGTGATACTCCACGCAAGGCGGGAGAAGTCGTTTGATTATTTTTCCCCTCGCAAAAAAGTCACTGTGTTTCTTTTCTTATAAGTAATTATTAGGCATTTGTAAAAATCCACTTTTATTAGAGAACTGTAAAACAAATTACTAGCAGTTTAAATAATAAAATAATGTTCACTTGCCTTTAAATTAAATTAAAATATTGTGAGTTGCTTGACAGTTGATAACCAATAAATAAATTGTAAAATATTATAAATAGAGAAATAGATTAGAACGTATGATACATGCAAGCCAAGAGTTATAAGTATGTACTTTCTATGATGATTCTGACATAAGGTGGGTTTCCTCACGATGTGTTCCTTATACATCGTGAGGAAACCTGGACTTAAGTTTCTAAGTATAAGTTTGAAATCGCCAATCCGCCTTGAGCAAGCGTGGTGATTAATGCTCAAACCTTCTCCGTGTGAGAAGAGGCTTTTGCTCAGCAGTAGATAAGCTCTTTTAGACTGATGATGATGTGCTTACTAACGTAATTGTTTGAGAAGAAAATTCGGATGGTTCGTCGACAGAAAAGGGTTGGCTCGACCGGAGTGATACCACGACCTAACAGAAAACCGGCATGAAACAACCACAGCCTTGTATTATGACGTGTGGGGGAGGTTACCGGATGTCCAATTCTTACCCCTCCCCCTCAATCCTTCCCCAAAATTTTCAATCTTCAAATCCCCAAAAGGTCGGCAACGCACTCGTAACTCCTCCGTTGTTGCGGGTGACCATAAGCTGCGCTAACCATCAGGTTATACGTCTGCTCGTTTGCCGTCTTATCACATACAAAATATATTTACGTAGATATATAACAACTAGCCACTCTCATGCGGTTTCACCCGCTGCTCGGCTCTATTTGATCGTAGCGTGATGTTTTATAGCCTATCTATCAGTGAAAGAATTTAAGCAAGCCGACCAGTGTTTCCAAAGATACGTTTGTATGTGCCCTACATACAAACTTACAAACTTACTTTTACCTCTTTATAATATTAGTATAGACAAGCAAGAAGAGGTAATAACCGGTTGACCTTCCTTTATAATTAGTATGAATATAAGTATGTTTAAACAAACAAATTTTGAGAGCCACGCCACACGTCATTAAAGAATGGACTGTGTATTTATTTTTAATTCAACTGTTGTCTATGGACATGGCAGTCGAGTGGAGTAGATTATAAATACTAACCTGTTTATTTAAGAATAGGTATTGGCACTTTACTTATTAAATAAAGCACTCGCGTGTAAAACCAAAACAATATGTACCTATTTAATAAAAACGATGTTATTCAAACAAATGATCTTGATGGATCGAATTGTTTTTTTTTATTTGAGGTGGTGGCTGCACGTCGATTCTATAAAATTTGTTTGATTTTGAATAGTGTTCGAGTGCGAAGTGAGCGTCGAAGTGACGGGGAAATTAAATTTTTGAATGCCACTTTTAACGTCATTTCATACTTTATCTTTCAAAATGTTGCTGTCAATTTAGTTCAACTCGCAAGTGTAGCGCTAGTGTTCTACTACTCACAGCGGATTCAGATTCGAAGTTTAGAATGAAGTCTTACAGAATCACACTGCTGTTATGCAACTTGTCGCGGGATCGATCCCGCACGAAACGTCTCTTCTGTTTTATCCATAAATTATTGTTTCGGCTCTGGTTGTGATGTGTATGTTTGTAAACGCACCCATGACACAGTAGGTAAGTAGGTCCTAGTGCTAAAGCAACTTTATATTAAAAAACAGCCTGATTTTGTTGTTACATTCGAAAACCAACTTGGCCTATTTTGCCACTTTCATGTACCTAATGCAGTTATGTGGGAAATCATACAAGTTACGTTTGACCTGTAGGTATATATTCAATATCTATTAGATAGTGGTCATCCAGGTATTGTTAGACAGACTCTTAATGTAATGTTAAAATAACCTAAAACCACCACATTAGCAGATTGGTTAGATAATCGGATAAATTAGTCATTATAAAAATCATAGTTTGTTAGTCATGTAACGAAAATACACACAAGTGTCGATACGATAACTAATCCATTATTATCTCTATGAAATTAGTTATCAGTTTAGAAACAAGACTTAGCAATCTTTTCGATGATAAAAGCAAAATATATCTAAATAATAAAAAACAATTAAGGTTAGTAAAAACACAAACCATGTTAAAATCAATGTCAAAAATCTAAACATTTGTTTGAATCCCTTAAATCCACTTAGGCAAAAATTTCTAAGACATCAAAATTAAAAAAAAAAATGTTTGTATGGAAAAGAATTAGGACGAAACACCATGGTTACTCTTTTTTTATCTTTTACAGTCATCTGTTACATAATTTTAATATAAATAAAACACCAAATGACTAAACTAACTTAAATAATACTCGATGACTTTGCAAAACATAAGTAGGAACTTGTAAAAACCAGTCGTAATGGAGGTATTTTTTGAATCCACATCAACACGATGCCGGCTGATTTATGTAATTATATTTTAAGGTCATTGTCCATACACGTGTTATAGGTACTTTAAAAGTTTTTATTATGGGTGATTATGGTGGCATACAATAAAGAATAGTCATGTGCAACGCAAATATTGGCTGAGAGGTTAATCTCCGAAAATGTTTGCAAAGAATATCGTCTAGAGCAACGCTAAAGGATAAGAAAACGAAATAATGCCTAGCTTGTTCTTATGAAGGAATAAAAATACAAGCTTACAAATCAATGTAATAAACAAAATGTACGTAAAGTAGTGTGTATGATTTACTCTATATTATTAATTAATTAGCGTTAAATAGATAAGATAAATTAATAAGACACGATACGAAGTGATTGCTAGTGCAGTTACACGTCAGTTTAATACAGTAGCTATGAAGGCAAAGCTGTGTGTGTTACTGCTATATTTAGCGGCCGTTTTGGCCAGTGATGAATGGCTGGAAGTGAAGACAGCACAAGGACTGGTGCGTGGGCGAAAACATGCTGCCGGAGGAACTTATGTGTTCTACAATGTACCTTACGCTACAGCACCCAGAGGAAAAGATAAATTTAAGGTAGGTAAACACGATATTGTACTATAAAACATGACTTTGATTATTATCTTTTGAAAATGAAAATATATAATTGCAGTTACGTCCTTTTTTTCTTCTAAAAGCTTAATTTTACGATAGTGACAATTATGTAGACGTCATTTCATCAACTTTTCGGAAGACCGGTCGGCCCGGAGGTTAAGGCGCCAATAAAAATGTGAGATTTTGTAAGTTTTGTGTAAGTGTGTCTTTATATTCAATCGGTGTTTATAAATTTAAAAAAAAAGTTACTATGAGATACTACACACTTACAGTGAGATAGTAATGAGAAGGAAATATCGTGGAAAAACTTGGGCTTATAATTTCTAATTAAAGCGTCTTTGCTCAGCAATAGCCACTTGTAGGCTGGTAATGTTTTCTTCTCCTATAGCCGTATTGAACTACGACTAAAAGCTAAAAATATGCATAACAAGCGAAATGACTGTAATATTTACATAAATTTCATTTTTATTTATTACATTTCAGGCACCTCTTCCACCAGCTGTTAGATCAGACCCATACGATGCTGTCAACGAAAATATTGTATGCCCTCAATTTCACCTAGAAGGTGAAATAATGCCTAAATATTTGGTGCGTCACGAAGACTGTCTAGTCGCAACTATTTACGTTCCTATTACTGAAAAGAAAGATCTCTCCGTCTTAGTATACGTTCATGGTGGTGGTTTTGTAATTGGATATGGAGACATGATGAGAGCACTGAATTTGATGGAAAACAATGATATGATTGTGATCACCTTCAATTATCGCTTAGGTATTCACGGGTTCCTTTGCTTGGGTACTGAAGATGTACCAGGGAACGCCGGTATTAAAGACCAAGTAGCCCTACTGCGCTGGGTACAGGAGAACATTGCTAACTTTGGAGGCAATCCTAATGACGTAACACTGGCCGGTGGTAGTGCAGGTTCTGCAGCTGTCGATCTAATAATGCTATCTAAATCAGCAGAAGGTTTGTTCCACCGAGTGATACCGGAAAGTGGCGGTAATCTCGCTGCATTCGCAGTTCAAAGGGATCCAGTAGAGATAGCAAGATCACATGCAAAGAAATTTAATTTCACCAAAGCAGATGATATTTATGCTTTGGAACATTTTTACAAGACAGCTCCTATGGATTTGCTGACAGCAGATCCATTTTTTGACAGAACTGATTCTACTTTTGTTTTCTCACCCTGTGTGGAGCGTGACACCAAAGGTGCATTCTTAACAGAATCTCCTCTAAGTATACTGAAGAAAGGAAACTACAAGAAAGTGCCATTGTTGTATGGTTTCGCTAATAAGGAGGGTCTAATGCGTATCGACTTCTTTGATTACTGGAAGAACAAGATGAATGAGAACTTTGCTAGTTTCTTGCCAGCTGACTTACAATTTGATTCAGATGAAGAAAGAGACGAAGTGATCAATAAAATTAAACACTTTTACTTTGATGATAAACCTGTAGGCGAAGACAACATTTTGGGATACGTCGATTTCTTTTCGGATGTTCTATTTACCTATCCTATGCTACGTGCAGTGAAGTTACATGCGGAAGCTGGACATGATCAAATATATTTGTATGAATTCTCTTATGTTGATGAGAATACACCTGTGGTGCCACACACTGAAGTCAAAGGTGCTAACCACTGCGCCCAAACAACGGCGGTAATGGATGGCAATATATTAGACAAAAGTGAATTGAAAATGAGCGATAGATATAAGAAAGTAAAGAAAATGGTACGAGAACTTTGGCGTAACTTTATTAAAACTGGGTAAGATTTTTGCTATGTTTCGGACCTTATATATTTTTTAAGGTATAATTTTAACATTTGTACCTAACCTGTAGTTTACCAGTTCAGTGTGTGTTCAAATAATTGGGAATCGAAAAGTCAAATAGACAAAAATATGACTTATAAAAATTTACAAAATACCTTTATAAAAAGTAGATAAATAACATTTCATTTAAAGTTTCATTCTTTGGTACTCTATATCTAAATCAATATTGCTTGTATTTTATAAGCATTCTGAATTAATTTCAGGAAACCAGTACCTGTGGGATCATCCCTGCCTGAATGGCCAGCAGCCGGCGCAGACAGGTCCCCTCACATGTCTATAAACGACGACTTGGAACTACGTGGTGTCCTGCTGGAGGAACGAACTCGTTTCTGGGACGAAATTTACGAGAAACACTACAGGGATGCCATCCCACCCCCAACACCCCCTCCAAAATCACGGGTCGAATTATAAAATTGATTATCAACTAATTTAATATATTTTTCATAAGGAAATTAAAGTGTAGTTTTCTACTTCAACACAATTTATTACATTTCCTTAACATGTGTCGCTTCGTATCATAAGTTAAGCATAATTTTGTTTAATTATTTTGTTGCAACTGCATTGTTATCTATAATAACATTTAATTGTTTTCCTTGTCTTAGAAGTTCACATTCTAACTAACAAAATACAACCACTAACGCCATCTTTTGGGAATCGTAACATCTCGCAGCAAAACTACTTACATACGAATTTAGGTTAGATTGGAGCTATTAATGCATTATATTTATAATATTAAATATAACTTTCTTTTAATGCAAATACATGGGAATATTCATTTAACATTATGCTATTTAAAATCATATATAATTTTATTCTAAATAATTAAAGATCCAGCAATCGTAAAGTTGAGTAATAACATATTCAATATTTATGGCTATGTTAACACGCATTATTTACTATAACTGAGTGAAAATGGCAACTTTTATAATAATAATTATTATTAGCATTCATAGTAACAGACTAGATGTATAGTACAACGCCATCTATTATAACAAATTGTAAATAATAATTCATGAGACCTGATCCCGATTAAACTCATAATGTACTTATCAAAATCAGTTTCAAAATTGACATAAGGTCGGTGGCATGAACACACGCAGAATAAAATGTCCCTATTTTGTCAATAATGACGTCCAACATAATAGCTTCATTGTCATGGGTCCGAGGGTCATGCCAATCTCAATAATTAAAGCTAAATTGCTATTAATTTTAAGGCAAAATAACATCATTTTGTATCTAAATATTTCCGCACCTCATCTATAATATAAAAATGAATCACAAAATGTGTTGGTAAGCGCATAACTTAACAAAAAGATGTCTGGACCTGTTTGGCTAATTCTTTTTCTGTCGTGTTCGTTATTGTCAGGAGAGAAAATTTTAGTGAAGTGCAGGGCAAGTTCAATGAATATTTATTACCCAATAATATCAGAATGGCTGGATAGATCTGGGTTAAGCTTCGCATTCAACTACTTTAATTAGGAATGTAATAAAGGCCTCTTTTTTCTTGGTTAATCGGGCAAAGATGTCGACAGACATATTTATAGTACAACACAACTATATCTTATTAATATTATAAATGCGAAAGATACGATGTTTGAATGTTTGTTACTTAAACACGCCAAAAAAGCTGGACAGATCTGGATGAAATTTGGCACAGCCGTAGGATCCACTCCGGAATAGGACATAGGCTACGCGGGAGAAGCCGCAGGCGGAGCTAGTAAAAGTATTTTTGCACACCTTGTCGGCTGCTCGACGTCGCCGCAATAGAAACTCCAAATGCTTTCCTTGGGATATTATCTTATTTTATCTTATCTTTATCTTACTAATATTATAAATGCGAAAGTTACGATGTTTGGATGTTTGTTGCTCAATAACGCCAAAACGGTTGGATGGATCTAGATGAAATTTGGCACAGACATAGGATACATTCCGAAATAGGACATAGGCTACTTTTTATTAACATACAACGCGGGCGAATCCCCGGGCGGAGGCTAGTTATTAATAATCAGTCATTAGTAATTTGAAACTCGTCGAATTAAGTTTTTATACCTACTTGCTTTTTGCAGACAATACAACGAACGAAATCTAAAATCAAATTCAAAATTGTTCCAAATCGAGCACAGTCGGGGGCGCCACTAGTATTCTAGCAAAACTCCAGTTACCTATAATTTATACATTGAACAGTAGATAAAAAATGAATATGTAACCTTGTCGAGTCGTCACAGTCGAATTTCGAATCAGTTCAAAACGGTCGCGATGAAGTCGAGCGTGTGTGTTTTCCTGTTCTATTTAACGGCGGTAATGGCTGCTGAAGAATGGCGGGAAGTGAAAATTGCGCAAGGAACGGTGCGCGGACGCAGACATCCCGATAAAGATTTGTTCGTCTTCTACAATGTACCCTACGCCACCACCCCTGTGGGACTGGATAAGTTCAAGGTATTTGAAGGCACATACAGTCAGTAGTATAACTCTTATTATAAAAACTTCTATATACAATGATCGAGTATCTATCGAGGAATAATAAAAGTGCTGAGAATTCCTCAGAAATCCCGGGCCTCGTGACCGACGGCTCTTCTAGACGAGTTAGATCAGCCGGGGTTGCAGGATAAGCGCAATGAGGCACCGCGACCTCAGCCCAGAGCAGGAGAAGGAACAGGAAGGGGGGTTTTTAGTCAGTAAGAGTCTGACACTCCCTCCCACCCAGCCCTTGGCGGGAGAAGTCATTTGATGAGTTTCCCCTCACAAAAAAAAGACGAGTTAGATAACTTTAATATTAGATAAATAGCAAACATGTACGTATATTATAAAATGCATGATGACTCATACTTTAGGTGTGGTAAAAATATTAAGTATTAATATTGTACTTGTTAGGTAACTTCTTTTTTCATCATCATCATCATCATCAGCCCTTTTCAGTCCACTGCTGGACATAGGCCTCTCCTATTGCACGCCACTGGGATCGATCTTCGGCCACTCGCATCCAGCTCCTGCCAGCCATCTTGCGCAAATCATCACTCCACCTTGCCTGAGGACGTCCTACATTTCGTTTGCCGAGACGCGGTCTCCACTCAAGAACTCGTCTACTCCAACGGTCATCGGTTCTTCGGCTAATATGGCCAGCCCACTGCCATTTCAGCTTGCTAATCCGGTGGGCTATGTCGATTACCTTGGTTCTCTGCCGGATCACCTCGTTTCTGATTCGATCTCGCAGAGAAACGCCGAGCATAGCCCTCTCCATAGCTCGCTGAGTGACTTTTAGCTTGTGAACCAGCCGCACCGTCAGTGTCCACGTTTCGGCTCCGTATGTCATGACAGGTAGGACGCACTGATTGAAGACTTTCGTCTTTAGGCACTGTGGGATCGACGACGTGAAGACTTGACGCAGCTTTCCATATGCTGCCCAACCTAGCTGAATTCTTCTATTCACCTCGTTCTCTAAGTTGTTTCTACCCATCTGCAATGTCTGCCCGAGGTATACATATTTTTGAACGACTTCGAGAACAGCGCCGTGTACTGCAATCGGTTCCGGTAGTACATGTTCATTGAACATGACCTTGGTTTTATCCAAGTTCATCCGTAGGCCGATGCGTATAGAAGAGTCAGCCAGGTCATTCAGCATCCGTTGTAGGTCCTGCAGCGTTTCTGCTACGATGACGATGTCGTCTGCAAATCGCAAGTGAGAGATGTACTCGCCATTTATGTTGATGCCGCGTCCTTTCCAGTTCAGCGTCTTGAACATATCCTCCATTGCATTTGTGAACAATTTCGGGGAGATAACATCCCCTTGTCTCACACCTCGATGCAACGGTATCGGCCTTGTTTGCTAATCCTGTACTTGGACGGACATGGTGGCGGCCTCGTAGAGACATCTCATCACTTGGATGTATCGCCAATCTACTTGGCATCGCTGCAGGGACTCCAGAGCAGCCCAGATTTCGACCGAGTCAAAGGCTTTCTCATAGTCCACAAATGCTAGGCACAGGGGCTGATTATACTCCTCAGTCTTCTGTATAATCTGCCGCACTGTGTGGATGTGGTCTATGGTGCCGTATCCGCTCCGAAACCCAGCCTGCTCCGGTGGTTGGAATTCGTCAAGTCTTCGCGCAAGGCGGTTCGTGATCACTCTCGAGAACAGCTTATAGACGTGGCTTAAAAGGGAAATGGGTCGATAATTCTTCAGTAGGGTTTTGTCACCCTTTTTGAAGAACAAGACGACCACACTCCGACTCCACGCCTCTGGAGTTCTCCCTTCAAACAGGACAGCGTTAAATAGCTTTTGCAGCTCCCTGAGTACCGGTTTGCTGCCTGCTTTTAGAAGCTCTGTCGTAACGCCATCCTCTCCAGGGGCTTTTCCATTTTTAAGCTGTCCAAGAGCGATCTCGATTTCGTCAATGCTGACTTCTGGCAGGTCTTCGGTGTAATGGCGTATTAAAGTGGCTCTAGAGTCCTCATTTCCGGGGTCAGGTCGAGATGCATGCGAAGCGTATAACCGGCCGTAGAAGTTTTCTACTTCCGAAAGAACTGCCGGCTTCGAGACAACGACTTCTCCACTTGCTGTGGTCAACTTCGTCAGGTGGCTTCTTCCAAGAGATTGTACGAACACTTTTGGCCCCCGGTTTTGCTCGATCGCTCTCTCGATTGCAAGGGTATTCGAGCACCGGAGATCGTGTCGCACGTGTTTGCTAATCTCTCGGTTTAGAGCCCGCTTCTCTGACGAAGTGACGGGTGGGTTTTCACGTCGTCTCTTCATAAGCCCTAAAGTCTCTTCCGAAAGCTTCGACTTCCTGCCCTTACGCTGCATTTCACAAAATCTCGTACCTTCTTCCCTGAGAACTCGAACCACGTTTTCAAGGTTCCGGTTAACGTCGGTTGTGGTTTCCAGGGCAGCAAATCGGTTCTCCAGGTTTAACTGAAACGCTTCAGATCCCATTTTGATTTGAAACAGGGTTGGTCGGAGCCTGGCCTTCATCAAGCGGACTCGTTCGGCTCTGAAGTCGATATTCAGAGAGCCTCGGACGAGTCGGTGATCGCTACCGGTATTAAACCTATTAATCACGGAGACGTCTCTGAATATGTGCCTTTTGTCCGCCATGATGAAGTCGATCTCGTTCTTTGTCATAGTGTCGGGGCTTTGCCACGTCCACTTCCTTTGGGGCTGCTTCTTAAAGAATGAATTCATTAAGAACATCCCCTCCCGTTCGAGGAAATTGACGAGCATTTGCCCCCTATGATTCCTGTTTCCATACCCATGGGATCCTACTACCGATTCACTGCAATTTTGTACTCCCACTTTGGCGTTAAAGTCCCCCATAACAATGTTGAAGTGAGTCCTAGTGGTGGAGTGGAGGGCCCTCGATATATCATCGAACATCTCCTCCACCTCATCATCGGAGTGTGCCGAGGTCGGTGCGTACACTTGGACCACCTTAAGGCTATACCTCTCGGTGAGCTTTATAATGAGGTACGCCACCCTGTTCGACACACTCGACATTTCCACAACATTGTTAGATAGGGACTTGTTAACCAGAAACCCAACGCCACCTTGGGATTTTTGGTCTCCCTCACGGAAGTACATCAGGTGGCCTGATTTGAGAGTTATCGTGTCCTCCCCCTCTCTTCGGACTTCACATAACCCTAGTATGTGCCACCTGATCTTCCCAAGTTCCACCTCTAGTTGCGCTAGATGCGAGTCAAGCCGTAGCGTGCGTCCGTTGTACGTCGCCAGGGTCAGTCTGTTGTGGTGGCCTCCCGTAGCCCGGAGATTCTTAGCACCCCCTACCCCACCGTTACCATGGTCGCCACCATGACCAGGAATAGTGGGGCTGCCGGGAACTGGGGGCCGTGGCCTTCGTTTTTTGCCCATAGGAGGTATTGCCCATAATCGCCACGCTGGGCAGGCGGGTTGGCGATCGCAGGGCGAAACTTTTCGCACCGGTAACGCTGCTGCCCGTCACCGGCCTGCGGTACTTAACTTCTTTTTTATGAGAGCAAAAAGATGCGGCGTCTTGGTTTCAAATAAAATTGACATACCGTATTTCATCATTCCGGTGTTGTTGTTCTCATATATAGTTTTTTTTCAATGATGTTCTAGGTTTTTAATCTTATTAAAAATGTAATTGAGTAATGATATATCTTTGGAGTACCTAAAGATATACATATATATGATATAGTTAATCGAAGGAGAAGAATTATAAAAAGTGGTCTCTTACAGACTGACTTTAGGGAAACTAAAAAAGAACATAGTTTGCCGATCCTAAATAGGGAATCCTAAAATTCTTACACTTGAGATAAGAAAAGCAAGTAGGATACTTAAACATTTTTTGGTATTTTTTATTTTTCAGGCACCGCTTCCACCACCGCAATGGTCAGAACCATACGATGCTATCAATGAAAATGTTGCATGTCCACAGAATGAGTTGTTAAGTGCACTGGTCAACTTTACTTTTAATATTAAAGAAGATTGCCTTATCGCTAATGTCTATGTTCCCGAAACAGACAAAAAGAATCTGTCGGTTGTTGTATGCGTACACGGGGGAGGCTTTATCTTAGGTTTTGGCAATATGATGAAACCCCTACATTTACTAGAGAAGAAAGATATAATCCTGGTTACATTCAACTACAGACTCGGTGTGCACGGATTCCTATGTCTCGGTACCGAGGGCGCACCAGGCAATGCTGCCATGAAGGACCAAGTAGCCCTGCTAAAATGGGTACACAATAACATTGCTAGTTTTGGCGGAAACCCTGATGACGTCACTCTTATAGGCAGCAGTGCAGGTTCTGCATCAGTAGATCTACTAATGATTTCTAAGGCAGCTGAAGGATTGTTCCACCGTGTAGTACCTGAGAGTGGAGGCAATCTAGCTGCCTTTACTATTCAAAGCGATCCGCTGGAAAATGCCAAATTATTTGCGAGACAACTAAACTTCACGCACCTAGATGATATTTGTGCTTTAGAAGAGTTCTACACGACAATACCACTCGAATTATTGATCTCAGATGCATTTTTCGATAGAACTGATTCTACCTTCCTATTTTCACCGTGCGTAGAACGCGATACCGAAGGTGCGTTCCTAACAGAAGCTCCTCTGAGTATAATAAAAAAACAAAACTACAAAAAGTTACCTCTGTTATATGGATTCTCTAATATGGAAGGACTATTTCGTATTGATTTCTTTGATAGTTGGAAAAATAAGATGAATGTCAATTTTTCTGAATTCTTGACACCTGATTTGAAGTTTGAAAGCGAAAGTGAAAGAAAGAAAGTCGCTGATGAGATTAAAAAGTTCTATTTTGGTGAGAAACCGGTGGGTAATGATGGCACGATAGCTTATGTTAATTACTTTTCGGATGTTTTGTTCACTCACCCTATGCTTTGGGCAGCGAAGTATTACGCCGAAGGTGGTAACAATCAGGTTTATCTATATGAATACTCTTTTGTTGACGAGGACACTCCACTGGTGCCTCACACTGACGTACGAGGAGCCAACCACTGCGCACAAACAATGGCAGTAATGGATTCAGGAGATGAAACCAAACTGTCCCAAAAATATCAGGATATGAAGAAAACTATGCGGGAAATCTGGTATAATTTCATTAAAACTGGGTAAATATTGTTCATAATATCACTGCCAAATGTGCATAATTGCATAAATACACTTAATTCCCTAGTATATTTGAATTCTGTTGTTGTTTTAGGAAACCTGTACCTAAAGGATCATCATTGCCTGCCTGGCCGGCAGCAGGTCCTGACAGATCGCCATATATGAAGCTGAATGAAAAGTTGGAACTAGGTGGGATCCTTTTAGACGAACGCACTCGCTTCTGGGACGATATTTACGAAAAGCATTACCGAGAACCCGAGGCGCCTCCAGCGCCACCGAAATGCCAAGAAAAATCGTAAGACATATTGTTGGGCTACATTAAACTAATTATGAGAGTTTATGTATTAAAGCAGTTATTAAATAACGACTCTTGCTTGTATTTTATCACTTCGAACGTAGTTGTGAAGTGAGGCACCTTTTACAAATTTTGAATACAGGTTCCAGTTGAAATTATGTCATTTAATGAAGCTCATGTATTACTATATTTAATTTTTATTATCACAATAGTACTTATAGGTACACAAAACACAATAACATGAAACACGAAATGTGATTGTCTATTGTCTTTTTTTTCAATCCTACTGTAAACAAATGTTTACAAGAGTATTCACTGAAAATACCAGATAAGAAATTTTTAATAGGTAGTAATATATGAAATTTTAAACACCAAGTTTTTCATATAATTTTCCACCATATTGCACAATGGCCCTGCATCAACCGGGGATTGTCCATGGACGCACTTGGATTGTGCACAAATGATTAATTGCCAGCTACTTAATATCCCATTTCACCTACAGGGTGTAAAAAGACACTTAACGAAGCCGTTAACTACGCATACTGCAGTTCTAAGTAGCTTTACGCTAAAATTATCACTGGGAGACGACTTTTATTTTTAGGTATCAAAAAAAAATGTATTGCGTGCAATGTAAAGCAAACGGGCTTCGTGTCATTGTGTGCGTAGCTTCACAGCTTAGCATTAAAACGCTGTGATAAGTACGTTGGTCGGCGTTTTACTTCGCAACAACAAAACAATTCTGTAAAATAAAAATCCTACTGAGATGCACGATGTTTTTTGTGCGGGTCTGCATTTATTTATTACGTACATTACTGTTCGTAACTTCAAATGCGTAATTTATTTAGAAAAATCGAAAATTCAGGTAATATTTGTTTGGAAAAAAGTTTTGTAATAATACTTAGAATTCGATTGCGTAAAAAAAATGCATCTTTGACCTTCAATATCTCGAGAACCCGTGGAGTCCCAGCTATGGTCTTAAAGAAAAAAATGATCCAAATAATGGGTAGAATACGTGGCTTTCGGCTTCGTTAAGTGTCTTTTTATACCCTGTATATTCAAGCTGTTCAAAGGGCCTCTGCGAGTTGGCTTCGGCCCCTCATATTCCCCATTGGCCCCTTCCAAAGTTCCGGATAAGTAATGGAAATACATATGATAAATAAAATATTAAATTCCATGTTATCACTATCATCAATATACCTACAAGAATTGTCTGAAATCCTAATAACAGTTTTAAAATATGTTATTTTTTATAATATATTACTTTAAATATATTAACTGCAGTGTGAGAGCACCCTAGCCAAACGCGATAAAAAAATGTAAAAGACAGAAAAATAAAAAAACACATTCGAAATTTAAAATTTATTTTATTTCTTGAAAACTTACTGCCGCCAGTCTTAAGATCAACAAAATACTTATTTCACATAATTACGCGTATTTATTCTTTCATCGTTACTGTCTGTACTATAATTTTATACCAGTCTTATATGTAGATTAACGACCTTTTTTCTAATTATCTATTCAAAGATTTGCTTACTAGCTATGGAATTTATCACATTTTGTATAGATCTTTGTGTCAATATTCTATTTTCAGTAAGCAAGAAGTGACAACTACCTATAAACAAACCTGAAACTAAGCATGGAAAATTTTATTGGAAAACTATTTGAAATTGTATTGGTGTACGTCCTAAGACGAGTAATAATATTAAAACTAAGAATATAAAGACAAAGTTTTGAAATTATTCGGATAGTTCAGAAAGAATTTTTGAATTTAGAAACTCGATATTACTTGAGCCAATCTCTCAAATGATAACGACTCAGCCACCAAGGCAATTCGGGCACGCTACCATAGCAGCGGTAAGACCCCTCTTTGAGGAGTGGCTTGAGAGACGCCACGGCGTCCTCACCTTCCGTCTGACGCAGGTGCTTACCGGGCACGGCAGCTTCGGTAGGTTCCTGTTTCGGATTCAGCGGGAGGAAACGCCCGAGTGTCGTCATTGTGAGGACCACCTAGAGGATACGGTGGAGCATACGGTAGCGGTATGCCCTGCCTGGGCTGAGCACCGCCGTATCCTCAGGGAAGTGATCGGCGGCGGCGACCTCTCGCGCCCGGCCTTAGTCGAGGCCATGGTGCGGAGTGAGAGGAACTGGGACGCCGTCTCCTCCTTTTGTGAAGCAGTCATGCTCGCAAAGAGAGAGGCGGCCCGCGTGAGGGAGCAATCCTCCTCCTCACGCCCCAGCAGCCGCAACTGGCGACACTACGGGCGTCGGGGATCGAGGGACGATCTCCGGCCACCGTAAGTACGGGCCTGCGGTCGGCGAGTAAGGGCAGCTCGCCGCCCGACCAGAACCAGGCCCGAGCGTACGGCGCGTAGCGTTCCGCGCGCGCCTCAAAGAGCCAATAGACCACCACAGACGGGGCCCTAAAGGGCTGATGTTCAGCCGGGGTTGCGGGGTAAGCGCAATAAGGTACCGCGACCTCGGCACAGAGCAGGAGAAGGAACAGGGGGGTTTTTAGTCAGTAAGAGTCTGACACTCCCTCCTGCCCGGCCCTGGGCGGGAGAAGTCATTTGATGATTTTCCCCTCACAAAAAAAAAAAAAAAAAGCCACCAAGGCAATATAATTGTATTACCAATTATAGTACCAAATTAATAATCAGAAAATTCTAGAGAAGCTGTATATGGCTCAGGTCTGGATATTTCAAAGTTTGGAGGTGGTGGCGGTGAGGGATCCCTATAGTACTTCTGGTAGATTTCATCCCAAAACTTAACACTTTCTTCCACGTACATGTTGTGAAGCTGGAGGTTCAGGTCTAAGGATACGTAGGGCGCCCGCCCTACACCCGCAGATGGCCACTCAGGTAACATCGAGTCCTCAGGGACGGGCTTACTGAAAGTTTTAGAAAAAAAAATGTACCTACAGCTAAACGTGTAGCAAAACACAAGTCAAATATGAATGGACCAATGCCACTAATTATGTAAACATAATTTTAATTAAGCAAGTAACAAAAAAATGGTTAAAATATATAATTCAGTAATATACTATATTTTTATGCGTATTGGGTCAACAGGCGAAACATGTATGTGTCAAGCGCACAACTCTCTCTCGATAAGGGCTTCGGGTATTTAAGGATTGGGAAGAGATGGGGGGCAGGGATTGGGCCTCCGGTAACCTTAATCACACACGAACACAGTGCTGAGGCTGTTACACGTCGGTTTTTGGTGGGGCTGTGGTATCACACACACGTGGACACATTCGTGCGGAAACTTGACTCTCTTACACTTATGTGATTTTAATTGCGTTTACCTAGAATTGCAGCTAACGTGCCTCCGTACAAAAACAAAATTATGAAATCAATGCTCACCCAGTTATAATAAAGCTATGCCATATTTGACGAATAATTGCTCTCATATTCCGATATTCAGGAGTCGAGAAGCTCTCACTTTTATCCCTCATGTTATCTAACCAAGCTATCGACTGGGCACAATGTTCCGCACTCCGTTCTATACTATGGCTGTCTGTAGTGCTTCCATTGTCCGAAAATGTATACTCGTACAGATATACTTGTTTGTGCCCAGCCTCCGCATGCAACTTCACTGCACGAAGCATAGGGTAAGTAAATAGAACATCGGAGAAAAAGTCGATGTATCCAAAAACTGTCCCTCTGTATACCGGCTCATCGCCAAAATAGAACTTCTTCACAGCTTGGGCTACTTCCTCCTGTTTTTCTTCCGATTCAAACCATAAGTCAGCTGGCAGAAAATCTGAAAATTTTTCATTCATCCTATCTTTCCAGACATCGAACATATCTATACGCATTAAACCCTCCATGCTAGAGAAACCATACAATATGGGTAACTTGACGTAGTTGCCAGACATCAATATTCGCAGAGGAGATTCTGTCAAGAATGCGTCAGGCCCGGTGGCACGCTCCACACAGGGCGCGAAAACAAAAGTGGAGTCGGTTTCATCGTATAACGTTAGTGACATCAATAATTCTAAAGGAGATGTTCTATAGAACAGGTCCAGAGCATAAGTATCTTCGGCCTTCCTGAAATTTAGCCTTTTGGCGTGATTCTGAGCTGTTTGTAGAGGATCTCTTTGTACTGCAAATGGAGCAAGGCTCCCACCGCTCTCAGGTATAACTCGGTGGAACAATCCCGTGGCTAACTGAGAGAGCATCATAAGGTCGACTGCTGCAGAACCAGCACTACTGCCAGCCAGTGTGACTTCTTTTGGATTTCCTCCGTAACTGGCGATATTTTCTTGTACCCAGCGTAACAGAGCCACCTGGTCCTTGATGCCAGCGTTTCCTGGAATGCCTTCAGTACCTAGACAAAGAAACCCGTGTACGCTGAGACGGTAGTTGAAAGTGACCATAATTATGTCCTTTGACCTCATTAGCTGAGTCCCTTTGTTCATGTTGCCATAACCGATTAAGAAGGCGCCTCCGTGGATGTATACAAGGACTGAAAGGTTTTTCGCCATTGTGTCTGGCACGAAAACATTGGCAACTAAACAATTTTCCTGCATCTTCACGTTATCTAACAGCATTTCGATAACTATTTTATTTTGTGGGCAGACAATGTTCCTGTCTATGGCTTCAAATGGTTTCTTCCATGTCGGTGGTGGAAGAGGTGCCTGTGAAAAGGAAAACATAGATAAGCAACTCGTTGTTTTAGAATATATGACGGAATTGTGGTTTACTGCTTACACCAGTACACTAGATAAGAGAGACACAAGAGCCGTGGTTAATGCACCTTGAATTTGTCTACACCAACAGGTGCTGTGGCGTATGGTATATTGTAGAACGCGTATACTCCTTCATCAGGTTGCTTGAGCCCAAGCACTGGTCCTTGAGGAGTGTTCATTTGCAGCCACTCATCGTTAGCTGAGATGGCTAGTACACAAACTAGAATTACACACGTCTGTCCCTGCATTATCGAGATAAAAGACTGACCTCATAATGTTTACACGATTGCAAAACAAATCAATGATGTTTAATTATGTTTTTTTCATTACACAATCGACGAGATCATAGAATGTGTAATTGCTATCTGCTATAGATACACTTATACTAACTATTGTGCAATACGATGCGAAAGTATAGAAATGGTTCTGTTCAACGTTGGCTATTACACACACACACTATTATATAATATGTAGATGCTCACCAATCCCATAATTACGCTATTCACAGAATAAATACCTACATAATCTGTCTTCTTCGTTAGATTTGTTTTACCGCAAACGAGCAGACGGATTAACTCATGGTAAGCAATCTGCGCCGCCCATGGACAACCGCACCAACAGAAGAATTACAAGTGCGTACAAAATTTTAGGATTGGGGGAGGGGAAGGATTGGTCCTCCGGTAACCTCACTCACAGAGCGAAACACAACGCTGTGGTTGTTTCACGCCGGTATTCTGTAAGGCCGTGGTATCACTCCGGTCGAGCCGACTTATTCGTGCCGAAGCATGGCTCTCCCATACTATATTTTGCACTTATTGTTATCTATACTAACAATTATAACGTTTATGTAGAGAGGAAACACTGATTTCCAAAATCCTTTCACTTATAGATAGCTACAATCTTCCTGAGTGTTATAGGCTATAAAATATCACCCTACGACCTATAGCAAACGAGCAGCAAGTTAAGGTACTACACTAGGTTTTAATCGGATATCATAGATACATTAAATATTTGTATTAATAGCATGGAGCGTCAAAAGAGCAGACGCATTACCTGATAGTACGCTTAAGCCAATCGGCGTCGCCCGTAGACAATAGCATACTAAGGCTAGAGTTTTGCATTATATGGCCATTTAGGGATAGCAAAAATTGGGTTTAAGGTATTTGTATATTCCGGTATTCGACTGTATAAAAAAAACGGCAAAATTGTGTATTTACTAACCACGTCCAAACACGACGTTGTTTCACGCCGGTTTCCTGTAAGGCCGTGGTATTACTTCGTTCGAGCGAGCCCATATGTGCCGAAACATGACTCTCCCGTATTTCAATTTCCGCCTGATAAGTAACGAATGCTATATTGCTATGTTGGCGATTTGTGATTCATTGCTATCATATTTAGATTAGGCTACAGCTATTGGTGTAGAAACTCGCATGCATGCATAAGGATTATATACATATACTAATAAAATAGATACAAAACAACGTTTAACAAATGTCCACGGAATGATACACATTAAATGGTTTCTTTTTGGTTAAAATTGTGTGTTAACTAACAAATTAGGACTTAAAGAATATCTCGGTACTTTTTTGGTTTGGTCCGGTCAAAAGATCACAGAAATACATCACATACTTTGTTGTTGCAACAACATTCGCTCCACATTGAACGTCCAAAACATAAATTAATTACAAAGGAGACAAACAACTTTGGCAGCATCGCGCCAACGACCCAATATGAGATTGGAAGTAGAGTCGAAACAATAGGCTAACAGCCAAGATAAGTCTTTAACTTAATTAACTCCCGAAGGCTTCGGCATAATTAACTTCGAAGCTTTTGGAAGTATGCGTGTACAGCAACGATGGTGTGCGTGAAATGGAGGAACGGGGGAAGGGGAGCTGATTTATAACTGGTGTAAATGAAAGTGTTAAGCGGATGCGGACGTCCCGGTCCCAAAGACCCGAGCACGCCCGTTTTTGTGATGTTATCTTAGGACTCACAACAATTCGCTGAGACACGACCGCCTGGTACGTGACCAGAGTGGCGTTATTCTCCTATTTAACTGAGTAGTTTTGCCCTCCGATACTTTTATTGGGTCATAAATTCCCTCTTATTGCTTCAAATGACTCAAAAGTTGGTTCTGTCGCTTTGCAATAGCTTTGAAGTGCCTTGTGTTGTTGTTATTTATCGGTTCGTGATCTTACTGTACATATGCTGGAGTTTGATACCATATGCTAGGACTAAAATCAATCTATTTTAAATCATGCTTACTTATTTAGATACCTATGTACATTACGTTGATCAGTATTCAGATCCGGGCAGCGTAATTCTTTCTGTAAGTACATTTAAGTACAATGATCCAAAGTCACAACTAATACAACCCGTTGTTATAAATAAGCGTCTTCTCTTTAACTTTCATCATCATCATCTGCCTATAAGTGCCCACTGCTGAGCAAAGGCCTCTTCTAAGACGGACAAGATTTAAGCTTGCTCAAGACAAATTGGCGTTTTCAAACTTATCATTAAAAATTATAAGTCCAGGTTTCCTCACGATGTTTAACACAACCTTGGATGTTGGATGTAGTAAGCTAGCTAATATTCTATATTTTATAATTAAAACTATGTAGCTATCGGGGTGTCGTCTGCTTTTCGATTCTTAGTGTATGTAGTGTAATGCTTTTTAATCTTCCCCCTTTATAGGATTTTCTAACACAAAAAGAAAATAATTGCTCAATTCGATCCAGTAGTTCCGGAGATTAGAGCGTTGAAACAAACTAACAAACAAATTCTGCAGCTTTGTTATATTATTTTAGATCTTTCAAAATAAAATCATTTGGGATAACCCCAAAATTAACAAAGGTTCAGATGTTTAATTTGAATTCCACTTTTCATCTGTCATTACCAGTCTTCTGGCTCCCTATGTATTGCAGGCAACCAGGTATTTACCTTAATTAAAAAGAAATGACTAAAATTTTTATGCAAAAAAATATTCAAAAATTATCCTATTTGGTTCTTCGACTTACCTAACGATATTCTTAATTTTCGATGATTTTAAAGTTTGTAGGTAACACGTATTTGACGTAAAAATATGATGATATCAAGTCATGATAAATTTAAATGAATTTCATACGAAATCCATAGAACAGCAGTATCGTTTTTGACAATTCGATAAAAATATTCCATTATTTGAGTAGGTAGTTGTCAAATATCGAATTTTGGCTAGTTGCCCGACTTGAGAATCGCGTTTTCCCATTTCCCTTCTCCCACGTTTGAGAGGAGCTGTCTCAGCGAGGCAGGCAAAAACACATTTTTAATAAATACTCATGATCATTTTTTGTTGTGATATGTCGGCCAAAGAACAGATGGATTACCTAATGGTAAGCAATTAGTGCCGCACACGGACACTCGCAACTCAGGAGTCAAAAGGAGTCCTTATCCCCAAATGGGGATAAGGGATTTATGCTAGGGGGAAGGGGGGATATTGGGCCTTCGGTACCCTCACTCACTAGGCGAAAAACAACGTTGTGGTTGTTTCACGCCAATTTTCTGTGAGGCCGGCTATCACTAGAGTCTCGATTGTGCCGAAGCATGACCCTTCCACAAGTTACATGGTTTTGCTTAATGTTGGCAAACCTTTCCGTTTATTCTCTCAAAATATTTAGACTCCTAATGACTAAACACCATCCTGCACCAGACTGAGACCACGGTCTACTGACTTTGCGATTATTGCGCTTACAACCACACCTGTGTTTCGCCGTGTAGGTTAATAAGGTTCCCGGCGGCCAATCCCTTCCCAATCCCTATATCCCTAAAAGGTCGGCAGTGCACTCGTAACTCCTCTTTTGTTGCGAATGTCCTTGGCTAACGCTGCTAGTCTGCCCAACTATGACATAAAAAAAGAATTTTTTTTTTTTTTTTATTTGCATAGTAACAATGACCGTTTCCTACGATGTTATCTAACTCTAATAGCCCCCGGCATAGGGACGTTCGCAAACTGACCTAATGACAATCATAACTGACAGCTAAATCTGACCCAATCAATCTTTATTGGAAGATTTGATTGATAACTATATTTCCGCTGTCAATTTTACTTTAAAAGTCTAATGGATACTAATAGTGAACATCTTGATGTTATCTGATTCTGATCATTGAATGAAATAAAGGGAAAACAATAGTCGTTTACCATTAAACTGAACTTGGAATGTTCCGTGTATGGTAATAGGATGTTCGATTGTTATATTACTCTTTTCATCAGTTACATTTAGGGGAAAATCAACATTTTGTCTTCTCTCTTCCAGGGTAAAGCAAGAGGGAGTGTCAGACACTTTCTAACTAAAAAATACCCTGTTCCTTCTTCTGCTCTAGGCGGTGCCTTATTGTGTTTAACCCACCGCCCCGGCTGTCATTTAACAATATAAGGTGCATCAAAAGTCGAGACAGCATGTAATGTTGATTCCAATCATTTAACAATTAATACGTAAAAGAACAAATCACAATTCTTAATTCTTAAAATCGTCAATCAAATCTTCAATAAATGTAACGGTAGAACATAATCGATTAATCTTTCAAAAAGACGACAAGTTCAGCGGTCGCGATGTCGGGCCGGGTGTCCGACCGACCCTCAAATGTCACATCAAGTCGTCAACCTACTTGAACTCAACGTCACCCGACAAAAGTAACTCTTCCCCCTAAATTGACATCTACGATTTTCATAAAACATATTTCATCGAGCTCCCTAGAGGGGACATCCATTTTTTATGTTCGCGATTTTAAAATGAAAATATATTTTGTTGTAACTTCAGTGAGTTTATATTTATTTGACACCCGATATTCAGGAGTGTATGTAAAACCATAAAATGCTCGTTCCTTATCTAATGTATACATAGCTACATATGTATGTACATAGGTAGGTACTGTAGCTTTGAGAGTACCCGCGGCCTCTGAGTTATATTACCACCGCGAATTTACAACCAAATTGCAACTTTTATTATCCCGTTGTTTGTTTAAAATGTTTAATCAATAAATAATAAGGCGGGAGCCGTAATTTGTTCTATTTTATGTGGCAATGTTGCTGTTTGCGAGCAGGTAATATTGTGTACACGTTTATGGCTTGAAATTGAAATTATGAGCTTTTAGCAATGCGTTCATACACATATATAAACGAAGAGAATTATAGATATATACTTTTTGTATAAGAACAAATATTATGTACCTACTTACATTTCTCTTTAGAAAATTTTAGCTTCTTCAAAAT